TTCCACATGTAGGTGCTCATCTTTGAACATCTTGCTCTGCATGTCTTGTAAGGACTGATACACAGACTGTTCACAAAACTACGGCAGAATTTAGGCTTCCCAACATAGGAGAAAAAGACACTTCCATGAAGAGAGGTCCAACTTCATGATACTTATGTTTAGTCAGCAAATTGCTCTGCTACTTGATGCAAATGATGGAGAAGCTGGGCAGATGTGCCCATGAACACAAGAAACAGGGCTGCTTCAGGTCATACAGGGAATAACTCCTTACTAGGAGAAGCCAGGAGGAAAACACTTCCTTCTAAAAGTTTGACTTCAGGGGTGTTCCTGGATTGTATTGAATTGACATGGAGATACAACTCATGCTCAAGAAAAGGAATGCTTCTGATGCTTTTTGACATAGCTCTTCTCTGTGAGTGAGACTGGCATGCTCTGTCTAAAGGAGAACACCTCACGTGTTTAGGAGGCAGCAGCATTCTTTACTCACAGCAGAAGTTCCCATTCTGTACTGGGAGACAATGAGAACTCATCACACGGCAGAGGCAGCATACGGCATGACATGAAAGAATGAACCAAAAAGCTGTGAGGCAACATGACTTCAAGTCCACTAAAGGAAGCGGCTTTGAAATTCTTTCTACAAACTCAGGGCAATGGAAAAGAGGTCCGTGCCAATCTGGTTACTGGGGCTTGCAACTGCACCCAATCTCCTCAGAAGAAACAAGGTGAATGCTTGGTAGAACAGCACTGACCTAGAACTCCAGCAGCTTCCATCATGAGGTAGACAGAGGACCTTGCATCCAAAGACAATGCCATTTTTTCCTTCCAGAAAACAACAGATAAAGGTAGGATCAGTAAACACCTGAGGATTACTGGTGATGTGTCAGATTTATGTTTCACTGCCTGTTTATTTCATTCTGACAACTGAAAACCTAATTTCTACAATGCAAAGTTTTACATTTCTTCATGTACATAAAGACCGAATAAAGCTACAAACAGTTAACTTGGGAGACCTCACAGGTGTGTGAAAAAGACACTTTGCTGCACTCATGGCACTTGTCTGGTGCAGAATCTAGTACTTACCACTATGATGACTCCTGCATTAAGTATTGGCTTAGCAGGCTAACATCTTGACAAACAGGGAGAAAAAGAACAATTGTTGACTCAAGGCCCACACAGATGTAGAAGCAGTTACCTTCAACTTGCAGAACAATGGCCACATAAATAAACTCTTCAATGACCTCAGTCTATGGCCTGGACTTCAGTGGAAAGAGGTTTAACAAAAGGACCCAGCAAAGTAAGGACCCAGCAAACACTATGTGGGACTGCATGGGAACTTACACCACAGCCTAGAAACAGAGATTTTGAACAGTGTGGAATCAAAAGACTAGTTTTACAAGGAGACTTGGGGATTATCTCAGAGTAAGAAACTTAGCCTTAGGGTTAAAGAAGAGCAGTACAGTTTGCCCCAAGCTCCACTTGCACAGGCTGCACAAACCACCAACCCACAGGTCATTTATGAGGAAAGTTATGTGCACCAGAGCAAACTGCTGCCTTCTACTACACTGGAGACTTCAAAAATGAGGGGTACTGCCTGTGACACCTGAGCAGCCAGATTTATTTTGCTCATTACTGTAAGATGCGGAGATCTTGGGACTGAAAGCAGAGATTCCACAGATCCTGGAAGAGAAATTCAGGGAAATGGTGCTGGTAGCAGAAGAAAAAAACAAGAGAGAGGTTGCCTGTCATAACCAGTATAACTGAAAGATCCAGAACTATTTAAACAAAGTTTAGGGAGAGTTTCCAAGGAAAAACAGCTGCCCCAAAAGACGGCAAAGGTGAATTTCCAGTGGGAAGACTTTCATCTCTAAAGTACTGAGAAATTCAGCAGTTTGCAGCAGTGGGACACAGCCCAAACAAGCCTGTTATATCTCCATCCACGGACAGAAAGGTTCCTATCAAAGCATGGCTCTGCCACGGCCAAGGCAGAGCTGTGATGTAATCTAAATGCTGCTTTGCAAAAGGTGAATTCATTCCATTACACCTTGGGCCAATGTCTGGCAGGTGAGAGAGCCAGCAAATGAAGGTATAAATCTTCCAAGACTTGGGCAAGAGAGATCAAAGAGCAGAAGTCAGGAACATGTCTGAAACCTACTGCAGAACAGCTAGGGAAAGTGTAAAAATTAAATTCTCACTTAACCTTTGTCAAATTGATCACCACCAAATGGTGAGATCGTAATGAGCAATTTCCTGCCTGGGCTGACCAAATGAAATAGAACTGCGTTGTACTGGTCTTCTACCAAGGGCCAGATCCACAGAACAGTCAGATCCCATAGGAAAAGCAGGAAGGTGGTCAGCTGCTCTGTCCACACCGCTGCAGTACTCAGATAATGTTGTCAATCTCTCCAACACCAGGAAAGAAACATTGGCTGCTCCCTGAAGGTAAGATGACGAGACAAGTTCCTGATAGGCACAGAGATACTCAGATTACCTAAGAGGACAAGGTTGATATGATGCATCAGTTCAGGCTCATGTTCCTCAGGAACACGTATTTGGGTAATTACTTTGCCCTTACACTGACAGGATTTATATTGCTCTTGAATATCTGCTGCTGACATTGACTACAATGTAACAAAATAAAACCTGAGCACAACAGATGATGCTACAATCTACAATAGACTCATTGATTGTCATAAACCCAATATACCAAAACATAGTTCTCAACAGCAATTTTCCTAATTCTTTAATGCAGTTCAATGTCCTGCTGTGCAAAGCTTTTCAGAGCTAAGGTCTAAAAGGGCCACTGCACACACATGCACAGTGATTTTCTGACACCTTCACAAGGCGTTTTCTCTAACACACAGAGAAATCCCTGCCAGGAGGAATGATACAACTTGCTGGCCTGAACAGGCCAAACTGAGGGTAAACAGAACTAAATGCTGTTCTAGGAAGTGAAGTTCTCAGGCCAAAGCCGCAGACTTGTCAGCTCAGGCTCATACACAACTGGGAATGGGGGTCAAACAACTCAAATATGAAACTCAGGTTTTAGCCATTTACCAATTATGAGTAACATTTACATTTAAGTTTTCACCACATGTGTTGGATACCACAGAATCATGGAATGGCTTGGGATGGAAAGAATCTTAAAACTCATCTTGTTATACCCCCTGCCATGGGCAGGAACATCTTCCACTAGGCCACGTTGCCTCAAAAGCCCTGTCCAACCTGGTCCTTCACACTTTGAGAGATGGAGCAGCAACAGCTTCTATGGGCACCCTGTGCCAGGGCCTCGCCGCTCTCCCATGGAAGTTCTTCTCATTATTCCAATAACCCTGGCCTCTGACAGTGGGAAGCCATTAGCCCTTGTCCAAAGTCCCTCTCCAGCTCCCTTGGAACCCGCTGAGGTACTGAAAGACTGCAGTAAGATCACCCTGGATGCTTCTCTTCCCCAGGCTGAATAATCCCAACTCCCATAGCCTTCTTTTTTTTTCCTCTAATGAATAAGATTCTATTGTTGGAAAATTATCAGACAAAATTAAAGTGCTTCTCTTTTTTTTAACAAAATCTTTACCTTTTCCCTATGGTGCCCTATAAATAAAGTATCAAATAATGTTTATCCTTTTTAAATCTGCTATCTTACATGTTTCATTCTTGCTGGACATTCTTCAAGAAGAAATATACCACAATAATTTCTGCACAGACTGAATTCCTTCAGATTCTGGATATTAAATTCAGATTCCTATTATCCAAGACACAGCCATGCTGCTTCAGTGTCCATTTCAGAATGATTGGAGTTGTTTTTCCATTGGACAAGTCAGATGCTCAGACAAGTATTCCTAGTCTTCAGGGATCCTGCGTTCAGGTTGTATTTCGTGGGGATGGGGGCAATGATGTGTGCAGAACAGAGGTAGGACAGCCCCTGAGCTCAATTCTTTCACATTTCAAGATGAACCAAAAGCACAGAATTGAAGCAAGAATATTTATGATTTTATATACCCTTTACATTAATGTATTTTGGTAAGTATGAGCACTTTCAGGAGCTTCTCCTCGGCGACTTCGTAGTGCCTTCACCAGCGCAGCAGGACCAGCCCCCGCCGAAATCCGCGCGGAACCGTCATAAGAGATCAGCGGCGGGATTCTTCCATCCAGATGGGTCCTGGAGCCACTCCCGCCGTTTGGGACCGGCGGGCCTCACCCGCTCCAACCGGGCACCCAGCAGTCACCGCCAGCTGGCGCCCTCCGCGCAGGCCGCCGGCACCGCGGCGATCTAGCCCCCCCGCTCCGGCGACCTCGGCAAAGGCCGGAGGGAGCTACCGCGCCCAAGCCACCTCACCGCGCAGCGCGGCCCCACCACAGCCGCGGCCCCGCCACAGCCGCGGCCCCGCCACAGCCGCGGCCCCGCCACAGCCGCGGCCCCGCCCTAGGAGGCCGCGGCGGCCGCTCCCGCGGCGCTGAGGCGCTCGGCTGCCGCCTGAACGGAGCCTGAGGGAAAAAACGGATCCCGCGCGCCGCGCGCACCCACCTCACCGCTCCCACCCGGCCGCGCGCACCCGTCACGCGGCGGCGCAGGGCACACATTGGCCGCGCCGAAACACTTGCATCACGTGCCCCTTCTTGACCAATAGGGGACAGCCGCGTGGCTCCGCCCCGCGGGGACAGTTGCTGTGCCGGGCGCGATCCCAGCGCGGCGGAGACAAAGCAGGCCCGCACCGCACCGCACCGCACCGCACCGCACCGCACCGCACCGCACCGCACCGCACCGCACCGCACCGCACCGCACCGCACCGCACCGCACCGCACCGCACCGCACCGCACCAGCACCAGCACCAGCACCAGCACCGTCACCGTCACCGTCACCGCAAGGGGGCGGCGGGGCGCGGCATAACGAAGTGCAGTGCAGCGCAGCGCAGTGCAGCGCAGCGCAGCGCAGCGCAGCGCCGGCTGCTCACGAGGCGGTCACCCGTGACCGGCAGGGGGCGGGGCGGGCTCGAGGCGTGCGCGGCCGCCGGTGCATGCGGCGCGGGCGCAGGCCCAGGCCCAGGCCCGATGGCGGCCACGTCCGCCATGTCCCTGAGTAATTACAGCAGCCTGAACCGGGCCCAGCTTACCTTCGAATACCTGCACACCAACTCGTGAGTACCGGCTGGGGTGGGGTGGGCCTACTGCATCCAGCCTGCTGGGGACCCCGCCTCAGTGCGATGGGCCCGGCCGAAGCCACGCGGGCCAGTGGGGTTGAGCGGCTCCCTGCCCCCGGCCCCGGCGCTTCGTGGTCCTTCCGGGGACCGGCTTTTGTACCGCGGGCAGGTCCACGGGTCACGGAGAGCCGGTGCATGGGGACAAGAGGCCCCGGGAGGAACAAGGAGTCACCTTGGGCAACCAAACCTGCACGGTCGACCTCTGCGGAACAGTGTGTGTGCCCTGTCATGCCAGCCACCATCCCTCTGTAGCATCTGGCTTTGTGTGTGACTAACAGGATTATGGTACTCTTTTTCCAGTCAGATTTTTTTGCATGTCGCCAGTGAATCCCCCAAAATAACACCTCTTGAGAAGAGGCAAAGCCATTATTGAAGATGAGTTTCTTGTGGGTGCATGTCTAGAAAATGAGGAGCACCATCAGGGAGCAGCACTTAAGTGGGGTCAGGCACCCATCAAGACTGCCTGCTGCTCCTGAGCCTTGTAATGGCAAGTATAGAGGAGACGGAAGAGCTCGTTCTGCCCGAACTGGAAGAACTCTGTGGAACCACTTGGCATTGCTTCATTTGGATCAGCTGGTCACCGGCGAAGATTGTCTGCCAATGTTCTGTGGAAGAGTTGACTTACTGTCCATCAATAGAAGAATAAATAAAGTGCAGGCTTATCTTTTTGTTTCCCTTTTCAGCATGTGAAGGATCAGTGGTCTACAGCAGTCTAAAGATGGCACAGAAACATGGGCAACTTGGTTTCAAAGGATTTTTGTCTCGTTTGTTTTGTTGGTAGTGAGATACATCTACAAGAGCAATGCAAGAGCAGTTAAGACTAATCTCACATATGCCAAGACTGTTGCAATCCATTTATTTTCAGAATCAGGAAAGTAATGGGCTTTGAACAGGGAAATAAACCTAGTAATGGCTCCATGTCACTTTTGGGTCTGCTCTTTAGCTTGGCTGGTGGCAGTTGCATATGAAGTGAACAATCTGGTGCCTGAAGATGGACAGTACTGAGTCATGTTGTGGTGCTGTTGTTGATTTGTGAAATTCTCATGTCCAGCCTCCAGAAGACAATCTTTTTTTTGTGGATAAGAAGACTGTGCAGATGATGGCAATGCTCTTTCAGCAGCTTGTGTTTGCCTGCAAAGCTCCAGAACTCTGTCCATCTTCATAAGAAGATAAAGCTTGTGCTAAAGACTGAGTTGTTGCTGCTGTTGTCAAGTATATTAAAAGTACTTCATGTTGCCATTGTGCTTACGCTACTGTCTGCTTGTGGTGTGCTGCATGTCGGCAGTGATACCTGCATTACCGAATTCTTGGAAAGAGCTGGAAGCCAATGCTTGGATAAGCCAAAGCCAGAGCTCCTTGTCCATCATGAGCAAAGAGCCTTTTGAGGTTATGGGAATCAGTGCATAAGTGAAATGCTTCCCTAAGAATGGCAATAGGAGTAATGGAAGTCATTATAAAAACAAAGAAAGCAGCAAACTGACCCGTAACAAACAACCTTTCTTGCTTCTCCAGAAAAAAATGAGCAAAAAAGAAAACAAGCTAATCCCCAAATCAACCCTAGGCCAGTATAGAGATTTTGATAGAGGAGACTGGTCTCCTCTGGACTGCTCTCTTGCTTGCTGAGGAACACCGTCCCATCTTAGCTAAGTTCTAGTTCAGTGCTAAGTGTGTTGTCATAATAAAGGAGGTGGAAATTTTTAAAATTCTTTAAATTGCAGTGAAAGACCAACCATCTGGCTGCTAGGGTGCAGAGGAAAACCATGCTTTTTTAAAATTTTTTTTTTCTCCTTCCCTTTTAAGACCTTCTTTCAGAAAAGTTTCCATATGTCTGACTCAGAGCACTCAGTTTGAAGTGCTTTACAGGAGACAGTTGATCAGGTCCCTGAGCTTGAGGAACTGCAGCAGATCTTGCCAATAGCAGCTTAATGCTTACATGTCTGATGGGACGTGGAGTTGAGCCTCCAGCATCCACATGAATAGATTCAGTTGCCATATTTTTTAAAAGTAAAAATATCACTGTGCTTTTCCAGCTTACTTGAATAGTTGAGTGAAGACAGACTTTTTAGTAAGTTCCAAAGTGATGAGACAGAGGGCAATGGCTTTAGCCTAAGAGTGTAGAGTCACACTAGATAGAAGGAAGATGTTCTTCCCTGTGTGGGTGGGGAGGCCCTGGAACAGGGTGCCCAGAGAAGCTGTGGCTGCCTCATCCCTCAGAATGTCCAAGACCAGGTTGGATGGGGCTTGGAGCGACTTGGCCTAGTGGAAGGTGTTCCTGCCCATGGCTGGAAGTTGGACTAGATGACCTTTAAAAGTCTTTTTCAACCCATATGTTTCTATGTTAAAATTCTTTTAAATCCTAGAATGAAAATCAGTGTGCATAAGCACATGAAAATTGCATGTGCGTTGTTTTATGACTTTCCAGTGTCATCTGCTTTCCTCTGCATTGGTTTTCTGTAACAATTAAATGCTTACATTAAGACACTTCCAAAGTTACTCATTGAGATGATGCCAAAAATATAACAGAGACCAGACAATTTATATTAGCATATTTTGAATATTTATAATAAAAAATTGAATTATTTTGTTAAAAGTTGAGGACCTGTGATTGTCTTCTAGCAGTAGGTAGCCTTTAGTTTGCAACTTGTGTGTTGTTGTGTAGCTAGAATTGTCCTGGTGAATACAGTTGGAGTCAAAGAAAGTCACTCGAATAGACGTCAAGATGATTAAATGATGGACTTGAGAAAAACTATTAATAACAGACCAACAATATGTCCCTACCCCCCCTCCACCAAATTCCCTCTTCTTCTTCTGCTTTTTGTCTATTTTGGCCTGAAACAGAGTGCATTATTTAGAGAATGTCTGTTTTTCCTGATGCATGTGCCAAAATAAAACATTTTCCCAGATGTGCTCTCCTTCAGAAGAAAAGTGAAGTCTTGAGTCTCTCATTAGTAATTAGGTACTTGTCTGCAGGATCTGGAGTCCACCTAGGTTCAAGCTGGAAGCTCCTGTAGGAACAAAACAAGTTTTTCTTCCCTCGGGACATTACTCCAAATGATTCTTTGTAGAGGCGTTTGAAGTTAGTAATGTATTAGAGCAATCTAACTCGACCTTTTGTTACCTATGTTTCAATAAATTGCCAATGTTGGATTCCCCTTTTAGATTCCTTATCAAGCCTCCAGTTCTTCATGGAGCTGGCTCAAAGGGAAGTGCACATTGTGGGATGATCCAGGCCAGTCTTTGTCTACCCAGATGAGCTGTTGTTGACGCTATGGATTTTGATACTCCTTTCCTCCCTTCTATATGTTGTTTCACCCGTTGTACGGCAGTAATAGTTGTATTTTGGGTACTCTGATGCAGGTTGTTGTTGCCTCTGATGATGCCTATCTAAAATAAGCTCACTGTGTTTGCAGGTTGCTAGCAAGCTCTGATAGGCTTTATTTTGCCAACAGTTTGTCTTGTTTTTTTAAAGTTGTGCTGCAAGTAAAATAATCCTAAACTTTTTTGAGGAGATGTGAGAAATGGTCACTGGTTGATGATGATGGATGTGAAATATTTCAGGGACTTTTGACTGTAAGGCAAGACCAATGGGTTTGTTTGAGATTAGCTGATTAAATCAGGCCAAAGCACTTCATCTGACTTAAGTTAGATATTGACAAGTGTGTTCAAATTCATAAATTGAATAGAAGACTTTTATAGTATGTATTCATTTCTGTTAGTGATAAATAGCTGGAGTGAATTTTCATTGGCTTGTAGCAAAGTTTCCCTTTGCTTGTGTCAGCACAAGAGGTTGCAGTTTTGGGAGACGGTCAAGTTTAGTAGTGTCGGGCTATGTGAATATGTTTTGTTTTGCCTTTCTTGTCTTCTATAGCTGTGCTATCAATTGTTTCATTTCAGCATCTTTCTTTGGAAATCCTTATTTGTATCTTATTTGCATCTTTTCTTTGAAGTGTTCCTAAAATTGTGGAGTAAAAAGTGCTCTTTAAGCATTGCTACTAGTGCTAAAGCATGCATTTGCTTGTGGGTCACTTCCTAAATATACTTCGGTGATGTTGACCTGTGGAGCTGAATAGACACTTGTAAACTCAAGAGAACACGTGAAATCTGTAATCATCTTACATATCTGCTCACTCACCTCCCCAGTGGAATGGGGAGGTGAATGGTACAAGGCTGAAACCAGGGGCAGAGATAAGAACTTTTCAAATATTGGAGGGAAGAAACATATAATAATAATAGGAAAAAGTGAGAGAAGAATAAACCCCAAAAGTCAAGTGATGCTCAATACAATTGCTCAGCACCCACTGACTCATGCTCTCCCTGTCCCCCAGGAGTGATTGGCACCTCTTGGCCAGCTGCCCTGGTTTGTACACTGAGCAGAAGATTCTGTGGTACAGAATATTCCTCTGGCTGATTTGGGTCAGCTGCCCTGACCATGCTCCCCTCCAGCTGCTTGTATAGCTGACTAGTGCAGGACACTGAAAAGCCCTTGACTTAGGGTATGCTTGGCTTGGTACCAGACATCAGTGTGTTATCAACATTATACTCGCACTAAATCCAGAACACAACTCTTAACACCTACTGAGAAGAAGATTAACTGTATCGCTGCTGAAACCAGGTCAGCCGGAAATCATGTTCAAAGGAAGGAATACCAAGATTGTGTTTCTATGGAAGCTTTCTGTTTGGATAGATAGTCTTCCAAACACTGTTCCCGTTGGTCTTGTCTCTGTGGGAGAGTGGAGATATGGAAATCTCTGTTCCCATGGTTTTAGTGATAACTTTAAAGCCTCATGTGTTTTCCTCTGACTGGAGCTGTGTTGATGGGTTCAGCGTGATCACCCTGAAGATGGCTATGAAGGCGTGTTTTGTGGTTATTAACAGTGTGGACAGCTATATATTTTATGTGTGGGAAGTACCTGTGTGTCTGTTCTTGGAAGGCTGAAAATATGAAGAAATTTCTTCTTGGTCACCTGTTGGCTGTATGTGAGGGTTTTGTGCAAACTGAAACATGCTGATCAAACTGGTTTCTGAGGTCTTAGTCTCTTCATTGAACAACCTGGAGGAGTAACAAATTCCATCACCTGTTTCTCCACATGTTTGCTGTTAACCTTATGGTGAATGTGGTTCATCTGTGTTTAAAAAATTGTTAGATTTGAAGTTAGGTTGCCAGCTTGGTCTTGAAGTGGAGATATGGCATTTATGTCAACAGACAATGTATTATAATGATTTTTATTAGCTGCTTAAGTTTTTTTCACCATCTGTTACAATGTTGAGGCATATAACTAATGGCTTCCACATGGGAGCAGCTTAAAAGAGGTGGAGTTAAAGAGGCTGGAAACTAAATATGTCTCTTGAGATTGTTGAGATTCTCGTTTATTTAAAGGTCTCTTTTTTTAAGTGTTGGTGTAACTCTGCTGATTTCTGTTTCATTGCAGAACTACCCATGAGTTCTTGTTTGGTGCCCTTGCTGAACTTGTAGATAATGCCAGGTATGTACCTGAGACTGCCTAATTCCCAAAGTAGCTTTGGTTAAGATTTGATTCACCTATGCATTAGTTGATCTTAAGCAATTTTCACTTCTAGTAGATTTTAAAGAAAATAGAATTTTAATTTAGTATTTCATTTGCTCATCTTACATTGCCACATCAACTTCCTAAAAGAAAATAATTATTCCTGGAAAGACAAGTTTGAATGAATCCTGGAATAACTCATATTGGAAAGGAAATTGATAGCAGAAACAAGAGAGATTTAAAGAAAAAAACTAGTCTGCCTTTTTGTGTAAAGAAATTGCTAAAATAAATATTACAGGAGCTGTGACTCATCTGATATATAAAAAATCATAGTATCAAACATGACAATGAAAATGAAATCAGAAGCAGGATGCTGAAAAATAGAGCAAGAAATGCTAAAGGAATTTTGACACTTCAGGAGATATGGTCTTTGGAAATTCAGCTGTTGGGCCACCTGTCTCATCTGTGTGTGGAGGGAATCCCTGCTATAGAAGCCTCCCAAGCCTTGCGTACTTTTGTCTTGAGCTAGAGGAAGTACTGTCATGAAGCACTATGGAAGTATTTTGGGATTGTTTTCTATGAAATGTAATTTGTCACAGTGTGCATTTTGTGATGTAACAAGCTGAAACTGGGGCATTTTGGGGCATTTTTGAGTTGGAAAGCTTCTGTTTAGGGAATCAGCTGTGTGTGTGTTCGTGTGCACACATGCGGGCTGGCGCTATGTTCATGGTTGCAACAAGGTAAGAAAAGGTAGGGTTTTTGGGGGTGGTTTTCCCTTACCGTGGTTCCCCTCTGGCTGTAGAGAGGTTGTCTTCTGGGAAGAAGTAGCTAGGCTGGGCTGGAGATCAAAAGTGAAACAAAGTGGCTGTGGCATTTGTCAAGTGGGGTTTTGTTACTGCTCTATAGTGCCATGCCTCTAAGTCAGCAAGCCAAGGTTGGTTTGGAAAGAGGGCAATAGTGCTGTACATGCTGTACTTTCAAATACAGAGGAGGATGCAGCGTGTGAAGGGCCTCACTTCAGTGATCTTGTAATGACAGTTTCCTGTAACAATCCTGAATGTATTGGCATGAAGGTTTATATGGAATTACTAAACCTTTTGTAGGCAGCTCAACAAAAGAACTATAGGTGATGTTTGTTTTGTGTAGGAGGGAGCTCAGAAATGTGTACTCATTTGATTTCCAACCCCAGAATGACTTTTGTTAGAATGCCAGTGGTACTTCCTGTCACTAGAACTGTTTGTGTGCTAGCAATGTCTTATGCTGGAGTTTAGTTCAAATGGACAGTGTTTTCTGTCACTCATGACTGTGGGACCTCTGTGGACTTTGAGCTATACAGCCAGTTATTTTGGAAATGCTTATGTATGCCTGGATTTTTATCTTCATTTCTGTTTAACGTTTGGATATCAACTGTGGTTCTATTTCTTTGTAGAGATGCAGATGCCACGAGAATAGACATTTATACTGGTAAGTCGCTCATGCTGCTTCCTTGCATGTCAGCAATTAAGTCACTAGTTGGGTTTAGGCTGCAAACGTATGTTGTCCTTGATTGAATAAGAGCGAGAATCTTATGCCCAATCCTGGGGTCAGTACTGGGCCCCTCAAGACAAGAAAGATGTTGAGGGGCTGGAGCATGTCCACAGAGGGGTAAGGGAGCTGAAGAAGGGGCTGAAGCACAAGTCTGATGAGAAGTGGCTAAGGAAGCTGGGGAGCTCAGCCTGGAGAAAAGAAGGTTTGTGAGGGACCTTCTTGCTCCTACAACTCCCTGACAGGAGAGTGCTGCCAGGTAGGGGTTGGGCTCTTCTCCCAGGTAACAAGTGACAGGAACAAGAGAAAACAGCTACAAATTTTGCCAGGAGAAGTTTAGATTGGATATTAGGGAAAATTTCTTTACTGAAATTGTAGTCAGACACTGCAACAGGCTGTCCAGGGTAGTGGGGGAGTCACTATCTATCCATATTTAAAAAATGTGTAGATCTGGTGTTTAGGAACATGGTTTAGTGAACTCAGCTGTGTTAGATTTGTGGTTGGACTTGATGATCTTAAGGGTCTTTTCCAACCTGAATAATTCTATTGTTCTACCATTTCTTCTGTGCCATAGTCCCTGTTGCCTTTCAAAAAGGAGTACCTTTACAAATATCTTGGGGAAGCAATTAAGTCAGTCTTCACCTGGGGTCAGGTGAAGTGAGTTACTCTATGTAGTGAATGCTAAAAAACTCCACTGACACAATACAGTTTTGTAGCTCAGTTTTGTAGTGAAGAAGTTCTTAGTCATTCTGTAACAAAAATCTGGTGCTGTTTCTTACAGCTTAGCCATATTGCAGGTTTAAAACTCCTATTTGTTGTGTTATTTTTGTTGTTAACACTGATCCCATTTTATGGAACTTTTAACTTCTGCTTATGGGAGCAGTGAATAACTCTTCTCTTGCAGAGCAACGAGAGGACCTGCAAGGTGGATTCATGCTATGTTTTTTGGATGATGGAACAGGAATGGATTCAAGTAAGTGACAGAAAGTTATACCTGCATTTGCAAGCCGAGGTTTCATGTTATGGTTTAAGTTGAATTAACAGCTTAGTTCCATTGAAAAGGACATGTTCCATGCCTGTATACATATTTCTGCCTCTCCTCTTGCTCTTTCACACCATATCACATATCAGACCATTTACCTCTTCCATTGCAGAAAACTAATTGGTCAAAAGAAAATTTTTTTGCTGCATTTTAGAGTTGGGTCAGCCTAGCTTGAAGTTTCCCAGTACACTGAAGTTGGCCTTGGGACTGAAGGGAGAATAGTGGAGCAAGAAGGGGAGCAAGTACAAGGTAGCATAAGCCTTTTCTCCATCTGGCTGCCAGGTGATCAGTGTATCTCAGCTCTAACCAGAAGGTGTGCCATGGCAGAAATTAAGGTTCTGCTTTGAAAACAGTTTGCCGTTGTTTCATCATGGACATTGTGTTTGAGATCAATACTGGACAATATAAAACCTTAGTAATATGAGAATATAGCAAATGTATTTCTGCCTTGTAAGAATTGCTGTAAATTGATGTTGTATCTAGCAGGAGAAAGCTAAAAGCTTTTCTGCTTTACTTTAGCATAAATGAACAGCACTGTCAACCCACCTTTGAGTCTTGAGGACTGGTAAATCATCCTGTGAGGAGTTCCATACAGGGCAGCAAAATTGGGTGAAACTGGGAGGTGAATATGGAGAAGACAAAGGAAATGTGTAAATAACATTTTTGCACTGATTCCTCAGTACTTTAAGTTCCTCTTGTGATATTTTCCTAGTTCGATCCCAGCTGGCAACTCAGTCCTACACAGCAGCTTACTCCAGCTCCACTGGGATGGTGGAGAGAATCAGAAGGGTAAAATGTGAAAACTTAATGGGTTGAAATAAAGACAGTTCAGTAGGGAAAACAAAATTGTGCATGCAAGCACAGCAAACCAAGGAATTCATTCCCCACTTCCTGTGGGCAGGCAATTGTTCAGCCATCCCCAGGAGAGCAGGCCTCCATCATGTAAAACAGTGACTTGAGAAGACAAATGCTGCAAGGTCACACATGCCTCTCTTCCTCTGACTTCCCCAGCTTTATCTGGTGAGCGCTACACCAAGATGCATGAAACTTGGAGCAACCTGGTCTAGTGGAAGGCGTCCTTGCCCATGGCAGGGAGTGGAACCAGATGGTCTTCAAGGCCCATTCTAATCCAAACCATTCTGAGATTTTATGATACTGTCTGGAATCCCTTGGGTCAGTTGGGATCAGCCATCCCAGACTTGTCCCCTCCCAAGTCCTTGTGCAATCCAGCCTGCTTGCTGGTGGTGCAGTTTGAAAAGCAGAAAGGACCTTGATGCTGTGTAAGCTGTGTTCAGCACTAATGAAAACCATATATTGCCAACATTTCTCTGAAATACAGCCCCGTGCAAGTTAGCATGGAGAGATTGAACTCTATCCCACCCCATATAGATACAAACCCATATAGATACAAAGCATTTCATTCAATGTAATTTGTGCTCTGATACACAGATTTGTGACTTCCATAAAGGAATTTGGTTTGAACTCTAGATACCTTCTGTATATTCTTTGGAATACGATTAAGGTTGCTAAACGGGTCTCCCAAGAGTACTTTTCTGCCATCAGTTTAGCTGAAGGAAATAGTAAAGCCCCATCCATTAAAAATAGCTCTGAGGTGTGTGGCCTTCTGATAGTCCTTAGGATCAGGGGAGAGGAAAATATGACCTTCTCTGCCTGTGTGTTTCTCTGGAAGGTGCCAGGTGTCTGTTCTAATGCCACAGAATTTTATGGCAGCTTTTATACAGTTATTGCTTCTGTAGTGCTGGTTTTGTGACAAAATGGGATTTAAGTATTGCCTATTGTCTTGGGTTAAAACAATTTAAGGGGGATGCTCTGAAATGAGTTATATCCCCTTAATTTTAACCAATCCCTTTCCACAGGAAATAAATGTGTAAAAATAAGTGAAAAAATAACAGTTTACTAACAAGCAAAACAGCAACAGGCACAAACTAACAGTAAATAATCACTAGATACAAAATTACTAAATGTCATGGACTCCCTGGGAACCAAGAGAAGCTCAAAATGGCAGTGACACCTTTCCCCGAGGTGACGCGTGCCATGGGCAGCTGTGTATGGAAGACAAAGGGAGGGCAGCCCTCCCTCTTACCACTCTGGTGGCAGCAGCTCCATCGGTGTTTGCGACTGACATGCTCTGGCTGCTGGTACTTGGTCAGGGACTAGAACCTCTGGAAGGACTTCACCTTCATCTTGGCAGAGGATGGCAGGGCAGCCAGCTAAAGTGGCTCAGACTCTGTGACTCCTCGTGTCAGCTGGCTGCTGCAGCAGCTGCAGAGACTGGGGCCTCTTCACTTCTCCTAGCACCTTGCTGCAGCTGCAGACAGATGCTGCAAAATTCAGTCTGAAACAGTTTTTCATTATGACATGCATGGTCCCATTTTGTAGCAACAGTTGCTACTGTTGTGAGCACAGAAAACCTACCTGAAACAACCCCCTCTGGAGGTCGGAAGGAAACAGAGGAAAAAAAAAGCCAAAGCAGAGCCTCTGCCTTGAGCAAAAGCTATGAGGGGAGAGGTGAAAGTCTGCCTGGAATGCCTTGACTTGAAAGAGCTTGACACTCGCCTGCTCCTATCCCTGTGGTTCTGATTCTGGCTGCACCGCTGGGTCTTAAAGTGACTTTCAATTTTGAGCACAGATGGATATGAACTACAATAATATTTGGGTTACCTAAGACAGCTATTAAGTGGCTTCTTTTAACTAATCTTTCAGCTGAATGTTGAAGAATTTTATCCTGATAGCCTGAAATGTTTAGTGAAGAAGATTGGCAGATACTGTGTCTTGCAGGGATGTTTCACAGTGCTATGCATTGTATATGGAAAATACCATGTAATTCAGGTCCTTTGACTGTCTTGATGCTGGACCAAGGGCAGCCAGGTGGAAGCTCTGTATGCTGTACCATTTGCCTGTCAGCATGGACAGAAGCAGCTAAGGAGAGTCATTCAAACTCGCTGCATGGGGCTCTCTGGTTCCATCCCTAGCTGTAGGGATATGAGTTGTAATTTCTCATGATGCAGGGTTTACCAGTTTTAAAGATATCCTGAAGATCTCATATCTGACTTTGAAAGATGTCAGCAGAAAACTTTTTATTGGACTTTTCTCCCTCGATACAGACTTTGCTTCAACAGAAATCATGGATCTTGGGAGTGTTTTATTTTTGTGCATGATAACTTCAATTGAAATTATTTTTATTGTACATAAAGGTGACATGTTAAAAAGAATACCTCCATGACTTGCTGTAGTGCTGTTGTAGCCCATGCTAGCCCGGGATCTTCCCAAGTCAACTGAAAGGATGGCTTGGAAGGCTGGATGGGGCACCATCTGGGGATGATGAGTGAATCAACCCAGTTGCGTCTGGGCACTTCTAAATGGAGGGAAGAGCTGAAGGGGTCAAGTTAACTGTTCCAGTAACAGTTTGTGTAACTCTGTCTTGTTGCTGTTCTCTTTGGTCTTGTTCTGTCTTGGGCAATTCTAGATTTGTCTGGCAGGCTCTGAAAATGGAAGGGTATAGTGAGGCAGTTGGTCAGATTTGAGTGCTCTGTCTGATGGCTTCTGATTAGCAAGCCAAATGACAACTCCTCATTTCTAAAAATTAGGGATGTTTGTCAAGGGATTCCTGCTGCAGTTGCATTCAGTACTCACTGCATTGGCTCTCTTAATGATCACTCTGGGTTGTGTGGTCTCAAGATCAAAAAACATTTGTACTCAAGCTGGAAACATCTCACTGTAGTCATGAGTTATCATAAGGTCCAAGGATTCAGTGATGTTACAGGACAGCTCTTTTCAAAGGAACCATCATGTCCTGCAGAGAGGTGTCAAAATTATAGAATCTTCTGAGTTGGAAGGGTGGGATTTTGGGGTGTCCTGTGCCTAAGAGAGTTGTCCAAATGCTCCTGGGGCTCTGTCAGGCTTGAGACCATGACCACTGCCCTGAGAAGTCTGTTCCAGTGCCTAATCACCCTTTTGGTGAAGAACCTTTTTCTAATTTCCAATATTAATAAATATATTATTATCCAGTAAATACCCTCTTCCCCCAACACAGAATAATAGTACTGGTCCAAAACTTTGGCTCTTTTGTAAGGAACTACATAGGAGTCCATGGAAAACCGAACAATAGATTTCATGCAGCACATCACATTTCTCATACTATCAGTGAAATCACTACTCAGGCTTGAAATTTTATCTAATACCTGGCTCTGAAAGTGCTGCGTGAATTTAAAGAATCAAAATGCAGGTTGAATGATTCAATGAATCAACTTGTAGGTTGAGAAAGCATGACAACTAGTTTAGGAAATGATTGTAGTTTTATTCTTAAGCAATTGAAGAAAATAAGTCTCTTAACTGGCATTTTCATCACAGAAGTGCTCAGGTTGGAAAATACCTCAAAGATAATTTGTTCCAGCCTTTAATGGGCAAGGGAATAGATGATTTAGCACCTTGTCTCTCCAGTGATGGGGGACTCCACCACACACCTGGGGAGGTTGTTCTAGTGATTGACTAAATGACTGATTGATCTCTAAAAAATTTAGTACTTATTTTAAGAAGAAACCTCTCCCAGTGCAACTTGTATCTCTTGCCTCTTTTTCATGTGGCTCCTAGGGAAGGGTAACCTTTGTAAATAGCTTTCAAGTACTGTAGTATTATGATGAGATTCCCCCTGGGCACTCTCTTCTCAAGGAAGGAGACCTAGTTCTTCTCATAGGGCAGTTTCTGCAGCCCTCTGATCATCTCCTTTGCACCCTGTTCAGGCTGTCTGCATCTTTCCTGAACTGAGGAGGCAGAACTGGGCACAGTACAACAGGTGGGGCCTGACAAACACAAAGCTGAGTGGGCTAATCACATTTCCATCTCTTTGGCAATGTCCCTGTGGATACAGTCTAGGATCCTGTTTGCCTCAATTGCTGTTGTGGGACACTGCTGGATCATACTCAGCTTGTTGTCTACCAGGACCCTTCCAGCAAGGCTGTTCCTCCCAACCTGCAGATTCCAGTCTGTGCTGGGCTCTTAGGTTATTTAATCCCGGGTGCAGGACTTCACAGTTCCCCTGAAATTCAGACACAATCTTGCTTGCCCACTATTTCAGCTAGTCCAGGTGTCTAAAAAAGCATTCCAGTTTACCCCCATCAGTGAAGCTGGTGAGGATTCAAAAGCACCCCACTGTCCAGCTCCTGTATGGAGATGTTGAGCAGTATGAGGCAGAGCATCAGTCCCTGGAGTGTCTGCTTGTGACAGCCTCCCAGCTGGAGTGAAAACCATCGATGATCACTTCTGAGCATGACCCATGAGCCAGTTCCCTACTTGTTTTGTATACCACTTGCCTGGTCTGTGTCTCCTCAGTTAGTCCAGGACCAGGCTGTGTTAAACTGTGTCCAACATTTTGTTGAAGTCCAGCCAAACAACACCCACTACTGTCTCCATAAGGACACATCAGTCAGGTGTCACTTGCCTTTGTAAATCTCTGCAGACTTAGCCCAGTTACCTGCCTTGTCTGGCTTCTAATACTTTTTAAGAGGGCTTGTTCTGTTGCTTTTTGAGAGATTGAAGCAAGTATATCAAGTCTTGCTTTTTTTCAACTGTGTTTTTGAAGTTTGGAAGCTCAAAACAGCTTTTGTTTTAATGGAAGCAGTTAATTAAGTAGTAGTGTGTTGGTTGCATTATTATATTTTAGTATATAGTATTTGCTGTTTAGTATTTCAGTAGTTGCTTTATTTGTATTTAAAAAATACTGTTTATCCAAGGCTCACAATAGTGAGGAAAAATGTTTAACTGGAACTCCAACTCCTACTTTAGAGTGTGTACGCACTTGTGTGTGTGGACAGTGACTCTTGGGGGCCACTTTCAGGGGAGAAGTCTTCACGATTCTCAGGAGAAAATGTCTCTTTAACCTTCTTTAAGGTTAAATCTTTAACCTAAACATTGATGTTTCCTATAAAGTTAACAGATTTTTAAAACAAATTACAGGAACATATATCAAAGCGATTTGTCAGTCACTGTCTGTTTCCAGTCATTGCCCCATGTGGGGTTGGTGTCCTGTGTTTGTTACAGTCACAAAGGATGTCACAGCTTTTCCCTTGTTCCCCTATCCTCAGGAAAGTTCAACTTGGCTTTAGGCTAATTCCCCCCAGGTAATGAATTAAATCCTGTTTATCTTGACCATCTGAGTGAATTTCTTCAGCTTGTTTTTTCTCTTCTTTGTTTTGCATAGATCTCCCTTCTCTATTTTTCTTGCTGGGGAGTTTGGCTTTTTTAAATCCAGTAACTCTGAGGCACAACAAAACAAAAATAGTGTGACAGAAATAGCCTTAAGTAGAAACACCCTCCAGAGCCTATAAAGAGCAGCTCTATAAAGAGCTGGGGAAAAAATTTGTGTCTTGATTCTTGGGAGGATATAAATATTAAATCTCTCCTAAAGACAGCTTGGAGAGAGGTTCTACCTCACATTCCCCTCTGCTCAGCATCACCTTCATCCCTCTGACCTGAAAGAAGAGTCATAATAGGGTGATTTCAGACATCCAACAATGAGTGATAAACCATCTGATCATCTTTCCTGAGAGGGGACATGCTTTGGATAATTACTCTTTACCCTCTTTAGGCTTTCTAAAAGTTTCTTAGAAATAGTTACTGAAAAAATATTTGTGGAGCAAAAAGATTCCAATAGTCCTTCTCTTTTTAATATCCTGTATCTACTTTCCTTACCAGGCTTTAAAAATAACACAGTAATAGTAGTTAGAGTAATAATAACTGGATGATGATGATCATCATCAATTGGATGATAATGGTGATGAGGATGATCATCACCAACATCCTTAGCCAGATCTCAAATACAAGACATTTGAGTGTTTTCTTTCTTTGGCTAGAAAATAGTACAGTAGGCTGAAGGGAAGGTAGAGGTACCCTTATCCAGTCCAAAGCTGTTTCTGGAATAGCTGTGGAGTTCCATTGAGAACAACTGCAGTTTAGGCAGCAAAGTATTTGCACAGTTGTTCTCCTGTATTTGTGTCTTTAAATCTGAATATAGTTTCAACTGAAAATGGTGTTCTGACACCAGCTCAGTGATGCCATGTCAGACCAATGGTGTTAGTACTGAATATTTTACTGTAAAACTGGTCAATGCTGATAGGCCTGTGTGTCTCCTGCATGCTGAAATCTAGCTTGTCCATGGGCTCAGCCTCCCCGTAGTTGCCTGGTGGGGTGAGTGATGTCTTGTGCTCCCTTATAGCTTGTGTGTATGCATTTGTTTTTAGCCTTCAGAGTAAGGCACTTTGTGTTCCTTGTCTCTGGAATTAAACTTTATTTCTCCCAGTAAACTCTGGTTAAATGATTATTATCTCTTGGGGGAAGGGAAAGGAATCTGTCCTAGGGATGATGTTAAAAGTCTTTATCCCTTGTACAGTAGAAAGGGGCTGGAACTAAAAATGACAGACCCTCTGAGCTGTAAAGCCATTGTGTCCTTTCATTTTGTCCTGTGCTGATGAAATCCTCTGCTAATTGCTGTAGGACCGGCTTGTGTTGACTTTCTCCCCAGCTGTCCTGCTGCCAGGGGTCCAGCAATCTGCTGCCAAAGTTAGCTTGTGTCCTCCTAGTGCTTTAATTAACCAGAGTGTTAAGTTCAGCACTGTGGAGAAATAGCAGTGTTTATTCTGGATTTCTGACCTTTTTAATAGTCCTGACTTATGCTCTAGTGCCAGTGCTCTCAAGTGTGAGGTGTCAATGGGACATGGGATACAACAGACCCACTGCATCCCAGGGTCTTAATTTAGAAGAATTGGCAACTGTGATGGACACAATAGATTATTTTTGTGGATTTTTTTTTTTTTTTTGCAAAAAGAAATGTCTTCATGCAGTTCAGATGGGACAGTGAACTAGACTGAAACCTAAAACTCTTTCTGTCAGCATCATGGCACATGTACAGATCTTCTGGTAACATCAGTGCCCTCAAACAGTATGTGTCTCACAGGGCTCTGTGGTACAATTTCAGGATGCAGCTTCAGCTTGGGCTTCTGGCCTTTTTTCTGGCCTATTTCCAGGGTAAAGAAGTTACCTTCCTTCTTTATCTAAAAGATGTGTCTGTGTGTGTCTGTACACGGAAATAAGCCTTTTCTGTTCCTTATTTCTTGTTGCAGATGAAGCTGCCAGTGTTATCCAGTTTGGTAAATCAGCCAAGCGATCACCTGAGTCAACTCAAATCGGGCAGTATGGAAACGGCTTGAAATCGTAGGTACAAGAGCCAACCTCCTGAGGTTGGAGAGGTCATAGTCCAGATGATCAGTGTACTTTTTGCTCAGAGGTGTATAGCTTTCTTCCCAGAAAAAAAAAAGCAGATGAGCTCTAAGATCCCCTGCTTTGGTAGACAAGAGCTCTCTCAATATCTGCTGTAGTTTTCCAGTGGCCAGGAAGGCTCTGTACAGCTGACATCAGTGATTTGGGACTGTGTTTACCCAATGCAGAGGGTACAGATGAGAGCTTGGGGAAAATAATGGAAGAGCTTGGGGAAAATAACGGAAGAGCTGGAAACAAAATGGTCATCTTCCTGTTACAGTCAGGCAGCAAAATAGTACTTCAGCCTCCCAACAGGAAAGTTATCTGGTGCAAGGCAGATGGACTTAAACCATTTCTTTTTGTTCTCAAACCAAACAAATGCAGGGAGAAGGGGAATGATGGAAGCAATGAGAGGAAGGGTAGGATTAAGTGCAGAGGAGCACAACACTGGTTGGAGTGGATTTGCTAGGAAAGAGGAAGAAGTTCGCTGTGTCTTTGGGAACGTTACAGGACTTTGTGACTTACTCTGGCTGTTCTGCTTTGTGCTCACCCATGCGCCTTGATTCTATGCATCCTATTGGGAAATCAGTGGGACTCAGTAACCTGGGGGGAAAAATTAGGGGATCTTGAGACACTGTCAGTTCAGCTACAGTGCAGGACAGATCCCAGATCCTGACTGTTGCTTCCAGGAGAGATCTCTGTCCTTTCTTAAACTTGAGCAAGAGGTGTACTTTATTACATCAGAGAAATGCTGCCTGAAGCCCTAGCATATGCAAAAGGTAGGTTGTGGAATTGCTGTGGTATGGACTTAAGGCAGTCTGAAGAGAAATGCGCTGACATAACACCAATACTTCTTTTGATGCAATGTTAATTGTTACCTGTTAAGGTGTTTTTGGATGAGGTTGGTAACAGGATAACTTAGGAGAGTGGGGAGAAGGAAGGGACTGTCCCTTTTTGTGACAACAAGCTGCTAAGCTGCCTTAGCTGCAGTGTCAGTAAGGCTTTAGTTAGGTTAGGAAACGAATTTTCTGTCTCCAGACTGCTGCACTTGATTCTGGATACAGTGAAATGAGGAATGTGCTTGCTTGCTCACTGACATTTCTGCTCAAAGATTTGAAGGTTATTGTCACATCTCACCTCAGTTGTCTTTTAAATTTTTTTAATTTCTGTTTAAACTTTCTACATAGTATGAGTCTGCAACGCTGTGCACCTTTTAATTGTGACTCGTGTTAAATGTTTTGAAACATTGTGAAAATGCCCACATTGATATGCCTTCTGAAAGGAATGAGGTGTTTAGAGAGAAATGATAGTTGCTGTTTCAGCTCTTCTGCCTAACCTGGTTTTGGCATCTCTTAACTGAAGTAATGGGAAGAAAGCTCAGCAATGTGGCCTGCAGTATGGTGCATCAGGTGTAACACACAGTTTGACCTCTGCCTACAGGGGTTCCATGCGGATTGGGAAGGATTTTATCCTGTTCACAAAGAAAGATAACACCATGACTTGCCTCCTCTTATCACGGACATTCCATGAGGAAGAAGGCATCGACGAGGTTTGCATGTGCTTCTTGTAATGAACTAATATAGTGAATGCTGCCTCATCTGAACTTGCCTAGCTCTTACAGAAGAGTCTGTCTCAGAGCTGTTTGTGACTCTGGTGGGATCAGTGTATGGTTTTCTTTTAGCATTATACTGTAGGGCTTCTGCAGAGTCAACACATTTTTTTTCCTTTTGGTTTTAATTCTAATTCAGAAGTCTCTAGAGTAGAGCAAGTTTGAAGGGCTTATTTCAGTCACTTAAAGGTGTGCTTATGCTAAGTTCAGGACATGCATTTTTCTTTTCCCACAAAATTTGAGTTTGAGATGTATTTAATTTTATTGTGCTGATTTGATTTTGTGTAGAGAACTAAAGATGTTTGAAATTGCTACCCACGGGTCATTTACTGCAGGTGTATCTTCTTACAAATATTTTTGATTTTTAATAAGAAGTCAGCATAGTTCTACCTATAAGAAACTTGTATATTTTAAGAAATAACTCAGGCATTGTTGTTCCAGGCAAGGTTGATAATTTAAATTTGCACTGGGGTGGTATCTCAGAAAGCATCTTCTGGTATGAGGGAGGGATTGAAGGGTGAAGCTGGGGAGAGTCAGTGCATGCTGGTAGCCAGCCCATGACTGAAGCAGATTGGGAAGAGTAAAGTAAGTCTAATTCCCACAGCAGCTCTGGCTACTTTTTTGGCTTGACCACAGTTCTGGGATGGGATTTGTGTCCTTGATGTACAGCTGCAGTTTAGAATTCTGTGTATATTTTTACTCTACGTGGCAGAAGCCACCTTGCTAGCATCCTTTAAAAAATCAAAGACTGAGATCAGGATAAATATGAGTGAAGGATATCTGAGTTCAAGAGAGGAATTAAGCCAGAGTGTTTTTTTTTTAGTATTATGAAAGTTGCTACATGAGAAGGGGAAAAAAAGGCCTTGAGTGTGTGAGTAGCCAGTACCATACATGTAACTTGGGAATGGTTCACTCTGAGACTGGTATGTTGAGAAGGCAGCTCAGAGGCTGGCAAAGAGGGTCTGTGAGCATTTGACAGACATGCAAACCACTGAAGAGCTGGAAAGGCCTTTCCTGGTGACTTAGGGGGCTGTCAGGAGGGGTAAGTCACTGGACCATGACCTGCAGGAGGGGCTGACTGGAGTGGGAGAGCCTGAGTCACTCTCAATACAATGGGATTTGCAGGTCATTGTTCCCCTACCCACCTGGAACGCACGGAACCGTGAACCCCTGACGGACAACATGGAGAAATTTGCTATTGAGACGGAGCTCATCTACAAGTATTCCCCTTTCAAATCAGAATGGGAAGTGATGGACCAGTTCAATAAGATACGTGGTGAGAAAGGTACATGTGGATGGTGCAGGTCACAAGTGAGATATTTGGGGTTTGGTTGGGATTCACCTGGTTGACTTGTTACTTTCTCAGGCACTCTGGTGATCATCTTTAACCTCAAACTAATGGATAACGGAGAGCCAGAGCTGGATGTGACTTCTGACCCTCAAGATATTCAGATGGCAGAAACACCCCCAGAGGGAACGTAAGTGTGACTGGTGTAACAGGCCTTGATCAAATTTGGTGTAGGGTTTGGCTATATACTATGTGCATGGGTTTTTTTTAAGATTCTCATTTTATAGTGAATTAGGAAATTTAGAAGATCTGTAGTTTGTTCTTCAGCTGTTTGGTGTACATGTGTGTGTCAGCCCATGTGTGTTGTGGCTGTGTTTGGGTTGAATGCCTGCAATGGCTGATCTCAGCTTCGCCAAAGCAGAAAACTCAGTGTCCTTTAGGCACCATAAGAAAAGGAGCTCTAAGTTTTATGTTTAATTTTATACACCTATCAAAGATGTTTTCATCAGAATGAGAGCTGGTTGTGAGTCAGTGCTGCTCCTAAATTGGTGTTCAGTTTTGTGGCAAAACATGAGGTGCTGCACAGGTCAGCCTCTGGGGGTGGATAGTATGTAAGGCAGGGGGGGTGTATCATCACATCTGTCAGGGAGCACTTCTTCCTGGAGAGGGGCAAGAAGGATGTGCTCAAAGGGCAGCTGGAAGAGCACAGGCCCCTGTTTAGAGACAGCTGAGTGTTTGCTGAGTTGATCACCTGTAGCCTGAAAACAAAAAACTGAGCTGAAATGAGCCAAATGCTTGGTTAAGTCCCAGAGCTCCATGGGCACACCTAGCAAGCTTTACGTTTTTGGTGAGATTACACGCTTTTCCTCTGCAGTGCTTGAATTTTCCATAGGAAGTTTCAGGCCCTGTAAAGCAGCTCTGTCTATGTATTAGAGTGATGTTACTGAGCAAATTCCTTGGGGCCCTCTGAGGGTTCTCAGCATATTTAATGCCTGTTTGTAAGGCAGGCGTGATTGCCACTGATCACTGCCTCTTCTTTCTGGTATTGTGGTACCATGTGTGTCAGTGAGTAGTGCAGGTTCTGAGGCAGCGTACGACTGACTCGCTGAAGGGTGGAAATGCTCTGGATAGGTGGGCACACTTTTAGTGTTAATAGGCCAGTTTATAGCTTTGGCCATTATTATCCAGATGTATTCAAACTCCCTCTTCAGGTTGCAGTAACACGAGTATCAGTTTCTTGTAGCAGTAGTTATGATGTACAGCTCAACAAAGAGTCTGGAGAAGACATAGGTCAAAAAAATTTAAAGAAAAGCTTTACTTAATGTAGTTTCATGGTAATTAAAACAGAAAGACCTTTTCTTTCACCTGTCTGTTTTGCTAAGAGTATCTCTTGGGCATATTCTGAAGTAGATGTCTCTCTTGCAGCAAGCCGGAGCGCCGCTCCTTCCGTGCCTATGCTGCTGTGCTTTATATTGATCCCAGGATGAGGATCTTCATCAATGGACACAAAGTACAAACCAAACGACTCTCATGCTGCCTCTACAAGCCAAGGTAAGTGTTGGATCCAAGATCTGTGGGACCATTTGGAGTTAGAGAAAAGATGTAGTGTTTTGCTCTCCAGGTGTATCCTGCATAATTCCATTCCTGACTCTAACGCCACAGAATCAGACCATAAGAGAATGGCATGTGGTGTTGACATCATGGGAAGAGAGATATATTGTGGAAAATCAAATGCTGTTGAAAGTTGCCTGAGTCATTGGTGCAGTTTGGATCCCTTTCAGAGCAAACAAAGAAATTAAGATCCTGGTTGTATGAAATACCATATTCATACAAAACTGTTGGGTAACTATGTTGTTGTTGTTGAGCAGAAGGAAAGCAGAAGGTGGGTGTTAGAATTATTTCCAAAAAGAAACTAGACGGAGTGCTTTGAAACTGTTGCTTCTATGTGTAGCTAATCCGGGTTTGAATAGAGATTGAGAAAAAGCTTTCCCTATATTCCTTTTAGATTTCCTTAAACAAAAAATGTGACTGTGAGCTGGGGTGTGCTGTCAGTTGGCTGAAGAGAGACTGGAAAAGGTTACTGGCATGGGAGCGGAAACCTGTATTTCAGTCTGATTGAGGTAGACTGTCTCTGGGAGCACACAGTCTGCATTCTAGATACCCTGGCATAATTTATTTGAATCAAATAGTAGTAATTTTGTAGAGTATTTGTGGATTTTTTGAGTAGCATTTTGGGCTCACCCAGCCTACTAGGCACTGTTAGCAGCCACAGGCCAGTGTCACACCACTGACAGTGCCTGAAGACCCTGGCTGATTTTTAACTTAGGCTTCCTCAGCTCCTTACATGAGACTGTGTGAAATGGTATCAGAAACCTGACCAAAATAAAAGAATGTTACACACTCACTGCTCCTCATGCTGGCAGGCCAGTTGTTTCCCTGCGGAAGGCAGGGAACTTGCCACTGTAAATCCTGATTTACTGGATAGAGAATCTCTGGATTTCTGTATTTTTGACTGTGTTTTATCTACATGTGAGGGCCTTGTGCTGCTTTTGCTTGTGCTGTAGTTCATCAAAAGTACTAGGGAGAGAAACTGGGGGAGGACACAGATTTTTGTCTCATCAGAGACAAGCTTCTTGCGAAACTTATAGACAGGATGCCATCATTGTGGGTGATGCTGTCAGCGTCATGACAATATTAGGTGTCCCAGGTCACCCCAGAGGAACATGTCTTCTTCTGAGTGTGTCTTCTTCTTCTTCAGTGTCTTCTTCTTCAAGTGGTCAGTAGTCTATTCTAAGGAGCCCCAAGCTGATGTGTGCTGGTGACAGATGTGTTTTACAGATCTGTTTGTGCTGCATGTGAGCAAACTCCTGTAGATCTGCTTATAGTGATAGGCCAGTACAAATTCCTGAACATTGTAAAGACATTTACATTTATGATCCCCATTCCTGCAACAAAGCAGTAAAGACCTTCCTGCAGAGCACAGTGTAAATCTTCTCAGTCTTGTGGCAATCATTGTGGCTTTACTGGGCCTCTCTGGAGACTGTCCAGACTGCTGCCTTCTGGCTGGACTTCCCAATACCAGCTTTTGGCTCTAGAAGCTGTGTGGCCATCAGGACAAGCCATCAAAGCCTTTCCTGTGGGTTCTGAGAGCCAGCACTGTTCTTGGGGTAGATGCCATGCTGTGCCCTGGGCAGGTTGAGGAAGCTGTCTTTTTCCTCAGGAGAGCTCAAATCTGCCTTGAGTGGCTCTTTTCAAAGGGAAAACCAGTAAATCAGTCCACTCTGAAAGTGGTTACTTTGCTTTTACTGGCATAGGTGTCGGGTTTTTTTACATTTTTCTCCCTGAACCTGCTGAAAAGGGTCACTTATGCCCTCGCTTTTCCTTTAGAGCTGAAACCAGAGCTCAGCATCCCCATTTATCTACTAGGCTTTGAGTGCTCAGCAGGGTAATACTGGGTCAATCCCTTGCATTTGTGCCAGCATTGTTTTGTGTGTGAGTGCACGGGGAAGGGACCTCCATTATGGTGCTCCTTTGGGGTCAGCAAATGTAGCAGTGATGCTCAGCTCTTTAGCTTGGCTGTGTTTCTGGCCCAGTAGCCTGGGCCAGATAAATCCTGAACCTTCCTGATCAAGCAAAGGGATGGGAACAGACAGAGGAGGTGCTGCTGCCTTACAGCCTGAGTAGCTGGTGTGCTTGTCTGGGACATCTGAAGGGCTCTTTTCTTTCAGAGGGGCCTCCCTCCTGCTGTCAGTCAGGTTGCCTTTGTCTCTGAAGGAAAAGCCTGTACAGTGGCTTGTCTGCAGGTTCCAGTGTTGGTGTTTGTGGACAATGAATAGAAATCCACTGTGGATTTAGGGTATGTAAGTGCCTTTACTGAAAAAAGGTTTTGCAGCCCTTGCACTGTTTTTCAGGAATAACAGTGCATCTTCTGAGCAGGACACTTGTTTTTTGTTCGTCACCACCCATGTTTCTGTGGGAGAGGCTTCTCCTCACCTTTCTGGAGCTGATAACATCCTGGTGGCAGGGGCTGGCTGGTTTTGTGTGGATCGTTCACCAGCCTTTGCAGTTGTGTTGCCACATTCCCAGCTTCCCTGGGAGTGGCCTGTGTCTCCTGAAGGATTGCTTCCATCTCTTCCCCAGTACCTGTTGGAGCTTGTTTAGCAATATGGGCTGTGCAGGTAGAAATAGCCGGGCCACATGCAAGGCCTGTGCCTCCACAAGGACACTCCAAGGCAGTTGGAATGAGTGTCTTGAAGGTCGTGATGGTTCACAGTGCCATCATCTAGGACATCCAACAGTTGCTTACAGTGTTCCCTACAGCAAAGGAGTGCTGTCCCTACGGTCCCCCCAAGTGCTGCCCTGCCTGCTGAGCTGGGTATGGGGAGATAATTCAGCTTTGCTCTACTTCTCTGTCTTTTTATTTTCTCCTTAGAATTCAGGCAGTTGTGGATGAAGTAATGTAGTTATGCCAACATGTTGAAAGCAGCCTGGTTTTCAGAGTGTACTGTCTCCTGGCCCCAGATAGCTTTAATCAACCTTACATAGGTTAGAGATGACACCACCAAAATCCTGACTCTTTAGCTCCTGACGTGATGAAATCACCAACTGTGATTTCTGGAAGTCTTAGCACCTGTCTGCTTTTTCCCCAGGGGGGAAATCTTTAAAAATAGCAGAAGATGTATTTCCGGGAAAATGTATTTCCGGGAACTGCTCTTGTGGTATTAATTTTCTAGATTTGGGAGCAAGGGATTCCTGTTGGTGAGATTATGTCTGATGTCAGTACCCTGTGTGCTCACCCACAGAAACAAACCTAAACAAAACTTTTCATAAGTACAAGATTGTTTCTCATAAATCCTGACAGTTTATCTGCATTTGGGGGGAATTTTGTCTCTCATTAGGATCTAAGTGTGATTCCAGTCAGTTGGTCAGTCAAGTGTTACATCTCCGTGTGGTTTTGCCTTTCTGTAAAAACGGCATTTCTAGTGGCTTTTGCTTTAGCTAAATACTGGAAAATTTAATCCTCTTGGTATATCCAAACCCTCATGTCTTAAGGTGATCTGAGTTCCTGCAGGCTCTGCTTGTCCTAGGTGTCATCTTTCCTTGTGACATGCTTGGAGGTGATACACATTCATGAACTTCTGCCTCACGGGCACCAATCTTTCACTCTGCAGCAGTCAGTGAATTTGGATCTGTATTTGGCATGTTAGCATACAGGGAAGGTGAAACAAGCTGCTTCATCTCCAGCACAATTTACAAGGTTGTGAGTCAGATACAAAACACAAAGAAGTGTCCTGAAACTTGGAAGTTCTTACCAAATTGTTGTTCCACTTTGAGATAGCCCTGTGTGAGATGGAGCTGTCAGACTGCACCTGTGGACAGCTCTTCACAGGAAAGGTTATTTAGCTGTGGTGGGAGCATTTTAAGAAGCTTTCCATATGTATTCACTCCTCCTTTTTACTTCTGAAGAAATTATTTCTCTAAGTATTGAGATTTGCTACAAGAATATGGATATATTTCACCCCCACTGGTTAATGCAGAAGAAGAGAGGATATTGTGGTTGGAGCTACTACTGAAATATCTGTGAAATAAAAAGATTTTGCTCAGCTTCATCCAAAAATGTCCCGTTCATGATATGTAAACCTCCTCCATTTATTGAATCTATTGGGAGGAGTAGAGTAGGATGTGGGGACCTTGTTCTCTCATGCAGTGATGAAATTTTGATTTGACCTTACTGCTGAGTTTGCTGATTAATAAATTTTGATCATCACAGGATGTACAAGTACACTTCAAACCGTTTCAAGACCCGTGCAGAGCAAGAGGTGAAGAAAGCAGAGCACTTGGCAAGGATAGGTGAGTCGTCAGGGTATGCATTCATCTGTTGCTAAGGGGACGACTAGACCCTTGAATGATGTGACCTGGGATTGGCGGCCTCTGGGATCACTGGAATTGCTCAGGAACTGAATTATTGCAGCAACTACAGATGACACAGGCTTATGTTCATGCAGTGGAAGGAATGTACATTGTTTCCAGAGACCATTTCATCATCTGAGTAGCAGATGTACAGGATAACCTTTGGAGTCCCAGCAGTTTTCCCCCACTCCAGCAGAAGGCTGAGCCCTGTCATCCTACAGTTCTTCTCTCACCTTTAAGATATTATGAGCTTCTGGCTGTGTTTTCATTCTGCACCTTTCCTGTTAAGGCAGTTAAAAAAGTAGATTTTTATTCTGTCACTTAATGTAAAGAGTCTGGGGTCTGGGTGTACAAGGGAGCCCTGGTTTGTTTGGTTTCAATCCTTCCTGGCATACCTTTTGCCCATCTAATCTTCCTTTCCTGTTAAGTTCTGTAATCCTCAGGGAAAACTCAGTTTGTCATAATTGGTTATTCAGCATATAGATATCACACAAGCATATAAATACAGCATTAAACTGTATTAGAGCTGCATTAAGTCTCCAGAAATATAACACAAAAAGCAGCATCCCTTCCTAACCCTTAATGCAAAAATACTATAGTGAAGGAGGAATCTTGGAAGTTGTAAGTAATTTATATGTGACCTGTATCTTCTGGTAGGTTTCGTAAATCAAATACATAAATCACTTGGAGGCATGTGTCCTCTGTCCCGGTGTCAGAGCTGCTTTAGGCATGTCTGCACATGGCTGCAGGTCATATATACAAGGGATGGTGCCACATTCAGCCTGTACAGCGTCCCAGAGGGCAGTGTGATTGTGACCCTGCCCCAAAGAAAAGCAGCAGAATGAAATGGTATGAATTGCCATGTTCCCTGTTCCTCCTTTAGGAAGTACAGCCTGGCAAGATAGACTTGGTAAGATGAAGCTTAAACAGATTTTATTGTATGCCTCAATCCTCATAGGTGAATTTATTTTTACATTGAGTTCTATAGCCAGGGCATGTCTTGAGCACACACTCCCATTGCTTTTCAAGAAGATGCAAAGAGTAGGATTTAGAGAAGCTTCTTCCCTGAAGCTGTCTGTGAGGCTTTCATGACACTTAAAAGTGGAGTTCAGTGTATGGTACTGAAAAGTAGTGTCCGTTGTTGTCCCAGTGCTGAGAACAGGTCCCATTGGTCCTAAAATGTCACACATTGCCATCACCAAACCAGCCTGGTGCCTTTGGGTGTGCAGGGATCACTGAACCTGCAGTGTGTCCAGGGGGACAAGAAGGCCAATGACATCCTGGCCTGTGCTAGAAATAGTGTGGCCAGTAGGACCAGGGAAGTGATTCTTCCCCCCTGCCTGGTACTCAGAACTGGTGAGGCCACACCTCAAGTACTGTATCCAGTTCTGGGCCCCTCATTTCAAGAAGGACATTGAGGTGTTTGAAGTAAGTCAGATAAGGGCAATGGAGCTAGTGAAGGGTCTGGAGTGCATGTCCTATGAGGAGAGCTGGGGTGGTTTAGCTTAGAGAGAAGGACGCTCAGGTAAAACTACCTGAAAGGAGGCTGTAGCCAGGTGGGGGTAGGTCTCTGCTCCCAGGCAGGTAGTCACAGGATGAGAAGACATAGTCTGAAGGTGCGCCAGGAGAGGTTTAAGTTGAACATTAGGATTAATTTCTTCACAGAAGGGATCATTATATATTGGAATGAATTGCCCAGGAAGGTGATGGAGTCACTATCCCTGGAGATGTTTACGGAAGGACTGAATGTGGCACTTATTGCTGTGGTCCAGTTGACATGGTAGTGTTGGTCATAGATTGGACTCCATGATCTCAGAGGTCTTTTCCAACCTAATTGATTCTGTAATTCTGTGAACTGGCCCAGTGCTTTTGGTGTACCTCTCAAACCCTCTCATGTAAGGTTTGATTTTTGTATATTTTTGTGTTTCCTTTGTACCCTTGTACAAAGGAATCACAAAAATACATCTACATCAGGGCAGCAAAGGCTCTCTGGGTGCCTTTGGGTGAATGCCTGATGGTGTCTGTCTGTACCAAATGGCTGACAGCATCCTTGTCTCTGTATGTTTCAGCGGAAGAGAAGGCTCGCGAGGCGGAGAGCAAAGCCCGTGCCCTCGAGTTACGCCTCGGAGGGGATCTCACGCGGGAGTCTAGGGTGAGCCTTGTGCTTTTGGCAGCATGTCGTGTTTTGAGCACCAAGGGGTGTTCAGAGCACTGGTGGTGGAGTGATGCTGACTAGGCAGCACCCCATGGCAGCATGCCGTGTGCTAGTTAAGCAGGTGGTGGCTCCAGTCAGCAGTGAACTTCCAGCAACATTTAGGTATCTCCATGGCTTCATCACCACTGGGTGTGTTTCACCATCTTCACACTGTGTGCCGCCCAAGTGAGAAGTGTGTTGGCATTCCCCTGCCTACACACCCAATATATCCTGCATGAGAAGGTGACCTCCTGACTCCAGGTGCTGTTTGCTGACAGCCTCTGTGGAAGTGGCCCGTGGAACAGAACTAGAGCTATGGGCCTTTTGGCTGTTCCCTGCTGCCTGTGCAGCTGTCTCTGCAGCATTTGGGCAGGGGCTTTTGGAGAGGGCCTCTTTGCTTCCTTCCAGTGGGACTGTGGCTTTGAGGGGCAAGGCTGAGCCCTGGTGCCAGGAGTTGGGAGGAGGGCTGGCAGGGGCACTAGAAGGTCAGCAAGTAACACCAGTTTAAAATCACTGAGCTTGCTATTGGTATGTCATGGAAACAATAGTATCCAAGTGCCCTGGATGTTTCCTTGTGCTCCATTGCCCCTGTTTTCAATTTCCTTAGTCCTCTTTTTACATGTAGACATTTTCCTCCAAACCTAGCATAAGTTTGCCCTACCTCTGGAGTCACACTGGTTGTCACTGTCTACCAGTTGTGACTTATTTACACTTGAAACACTTCTCAGCTCTTTCTGAAAGAGCAGAATATCATAAATGGAGTGAATTTTATGAATTTCCCAGCTTGACTATGCAATGTCTGTTTGCAGGTGACATTGCGTCAGGTCCAGAACTCTGCCATCACCATGCGGCGGGAGGCTGACGTCAAGAAAAGGATTAAGGATGCAAAGCAGCGGTGAGTGCAGGGGCTTCCAAACTCTGGAGTACCTAGGCTGTTTGCTCCAGGTGCTCATATAGCTCTCCTGTTTTGCATGTATTTTCGGTTCAGCTCAAAGCTTAAATATCCATGGGCATCTTATATACCTGGGCTGTTAAACTGAGCAGCTGGGGCACTATTCTGGTTACCTCTGGTATTCCCCTCTTACCTGCTGAAAGACATGTGGGTCTCTGGATTGGGTTGTTCGCTGTAAATATTTACCTGATTTTCATATCAGTTTTTTTCACTCTTGCTTTTTCACTTGCAGATAAGATTCAGGCTGATGAACAAATGTTTGCAAGTTACAATGAAACAGCTTTAGGAATTTTGGGCATGCTTTCTAAAAAAGGCTGAGTTTTGGTGTAGTCTGTGCTGTGAAATCCCAAGGCATTCTTCTAGCTTAGCTCTGGTGGCAATTAACTTTGGTTTTTGATGTACTCACAGGAATATTTCACTCTTCATATATGTTTGTTTTGCATTTCTCAAATGAAGTGAAAACCAGAAACAAATGCTCTTAAAACACATGCTGAGTTTGAGGAAGTTGGGAATTTGGATACAGAACATCTCCATTCCCTATGTGTATGCATGCCCATTTACATGGCTGCCTAGGTCAGAACTATTGCAGACTTGTTGTCAGAGATCTTAAGATGCTGAAAAGAAACAAATAAATACAACTTTAAATTAAAAGTGCTAGAGCTAGGATCTGAATGATACAGAAGCTTGTGAGAGAACCTATTTCCTTCAGCTTCCACATACTTTTCCATCTACACCTTTGTTCTTTAATTCTTGGGTTTGGTGATATTAGTGTGCAACGAAAAATTTGTGAATAGTCTTCTGCCCTTCCTGCCCATGGGCAAAATACTTCTTCCTGTTACTAAGCTGAGCAGCTAAAAGCCACTCTGGGCAGGTACATGGCTTTCCCTGTGTCCCTACATTCATCACTGGTGATCAGAAGCAGATCAGAGGATTATGCTTTTCTACTGCATTGTACTTCATTCAGAAAACCAAAAAATATCCTGAAAGATGTGCATAATAGGCACATTAACTTCTGTACTAAGCAATCCCTGTTGTCTTTTGGAAAATTCTTGAGTTACAGAGGATGTCCTAGGACAGTTTTCTGCTGTTTCCGTGATGCTGGGTGCATCAATGAAAGAAGTGCTTTCAGGTTTCCAAAGGCTATGTAAGATCAGGTTGGCTCTGAATCCAGACAGTAGGACAGGTACTAAATTTCTAGTAATTAAATCCCTGGCTTTTGACCCACCACTTCATTTTCCATGGTTTGGATGATAATTTTACTTCCTGTCCTCTTTGATAAAAATGAAATGTCCTTTTTGTTTTGTAGGTGAGTATATGTTGGAGAATTTTGCTCAGACATGGCTTGAAGGAAAAAAGGCCATGAAAATATACAGCTGATTGAAAAGTAAAAGGCAGCTGTAAACAGCAAAGTTCTCAGACACGTTCCTGTAAACAGCAAAGTTCTCAGGCTTGTTTTTTAATAACAAGTAAATACCTTGTCCTTGGATAGTGATGGGAAAGCAGAGTGACAAACATGGAGGCCTTGAGAACAGTTAATAACAGGATGAGAAAAACAAGTTTTGGTCTCAATAACAAACCACAGGTATTGAAAACAAGAGGAGGGTTGGTGTGTAATCTGTAGCCAATAATGAGCTTGGGTTTTGCAATATGTATGAACTTAATTAACACGATTATAAAAGTGTGCATATTGGATCAATAAATCAGAGTTCGATGCTCATCAATAAGGATGTGGTTGACTCCCTTCGCTTCCTCAAGTATACATGCTATTTCTTGAAGTATAAGGCTCTACATTCTTTTCCAGAAGTTAGAAAAAGAAAATTAATCCCTGAGATGGGTGTTTTGCTGCACTTGCTCATGCTCTTGAATCATGGTTTTCTACGACAATGAGCTGAGACCAACAGGTCACATTCCAGCCCAGCAGTTGGCAGTGTTCAAAACCCCTCTTGGCAAAGGTTTAGATTTGAAATTACTGAAAACTGCTATTTCAGGTGTTTTCCTAGGAATGTACTACAGTCACCTGTTTTAAATGATGCTGTGTCACAGGGTACCATTGCATCTGTGTGAGGGATGATGGCCTTAAACAAAAAATGAATATGAATTTTATTTTTGGTATTTATTTTGAAAAGTTTCACCATTAAGACAGACTCAGATCTGATATCTGCAGGTGATCATTGTGTAGGGTTCATGTGCGTGTGGTGCAGGTCTTCCTAATATTTGATATTAGTAGACAGTCAACTGAACATTTTAAGGAATTCCACTATCTTCAGCTAACCATTTAAGCAGAAGTTAAATTCCTCATTAAGATAAGGTACATAACTGCAAAGGACTTGATGGGGGTAGGTGGGGAATATAAAGCAGGTCAAAATTGAGAAGGGTGGGCAGGACCATGGTATAGGCTATGCCTAGCAGTAGTTACTGGTTTGGGCCTCATATTTGAGGATACTTCCATACTGAGGCTGAGTATCCTTCTTATGAAAAATTCTCAGCGTGGATATCAGGGAAGCTGTGGAACCTGATTAATTTAGTATGTTGAAGAGCAGGACTTGTTTGTGAGACACAGGGATTTTGTTTGATTTATAGCACAAAAAGATCAAAATCTCAAGGCTTTTGGCCTTAATGGAGATAGAATTCCTGGTAACCAAAGATTCAGATTGAGAAATCCTGTGGGCTCACAAACATACTCGAGGCCAACTTTTCTTGGAGTCATCTGCTGCATAGATAAGGGAGAAATCATGCAAATTGGTATCCTAACATTGTAGAAAAAGGAGCTCTGCTTGGGCTGTATGTTGTATCCTCCAGATTTTGAACTTAAGGAGCAGCCTTGTGAAATTTGGAATTAGGAGAACTTCCTAGAATCAGAATATCAAGACTGTAGTTTTGTATTGAAATCTGAATTTCCATGCTTTATCTAGAAAGGGATATATAGCTGGAAAATACAAACCAAAATATCATGGGAAAGGACCAGTCTGGATGCAACAGTGCTCTCATAAAACTAATTCACTGAATAAAAACATCTGAAGTAAAAACCAGAATTTGTTCTGAAGGAGAAAACATATTCAATTGAAAAATTCTCTGTCCAGCCTAAATTAGTATTTGTATTGCAAAGTTTTTGTATTTTGTTCATATTCAGTTGTAATGCTCTTTCAGCAAATGTTTTGTATTTTTCAGAAGTAGCAGTTTAATGCTCAAGGGTGCTGGCCTTCCATACCCTCTCTCTAACACCAGCAGATAGTATGCTTTATTTCCAGCATCCCTAGGGGCTCTGTTTTGTCCCCTACAGGGCACTGAAGGAGCCCAAGGAGCTGAATTTTATCTTTGGGGTGAACATTGAGCAGCGTGAGCTGGACGGCATGTTCATTTATAACTGCAGTCGGCTGATCAAGATGTATGAGAAGGTGGGCCCACAGCTGGAGGGTGGCATGTGAGTCCTGCAGATTTTTCTGCAATCTTTGCTTAAGCTTGGCACATTTTTCTATATCTGACTTAGGCTGCGCAATAACCATGTTTTGCATTAATCATTCTTCCTGAGCCTGAGGCCTGCTCATTTTGTCAGCCTTCAGTTTGCATTCTGACAAATAAATTATATTTAGTACTGCCTCATATTTTCCTGGTTTCTTGATAGAGAGTTCTTGACACAAATTTTAGCCATCCCTGCAGCAGTATGAGGAGCTTGCCATTTGGTGCTGATGGGTGCTGGTAGTACTAGTGCCTCATTCCAGAGACAGGCAAAATAGGTCTTGACAGCAAGTACAAATATTTGAGCCCATCTTACATTTTGCATGACAGTTCATGTTGCCAGCCTGTCGGTTTAATCGGTGTCCTTCTGTGTCACTCTGTGTCCCTCTTCCAGGGCATGTGGAGGAGTGGTAGGCGTGGTGGATGTGCCCTATTTGGTTCTGGAGCCAACCCATAATAAACAAGACTTTGCTGATGCCAAGGAGTATCGACACTTGCTGAAGGCCATGGGAGAGCATTTGGCTCAGTATTGGAAGGATGTTGCAATAGGTAATGAAACTTCACAATTACCAGAGTCTGGAAGGAGAAATTTGGGTGGCTGAAGGTCAGCCAGAAGTGCAGATGGTGATTTTGTGATAATGACTCCATATTGAGCAGAATATGGTTTGTTTTCCAGCCCAGAGAGGTATCATCAAGTTCTGGGATGAATTTGGTTATTTATCAGCAAACTGGAACCAGCCTCCGTCTAGTGAACTGCGTTACAAGCGCCGGAGAGCCATGGAGATCCCCACCACAATTCAGTGCGGTGCGTCTGATCCAGCTGCTTCTCTCTGGGGAAGGGGGGGGAGCACTCCTGGCTGCAGATGGGACAGTTAAATGCATAGGAGATTTGGGATGGACTATCATCCCTTCCTAGGGCCTGTCCCCTCTGCAGTTTGCCTTTGTCTGCACTCAGTGGTATTCTGTGACAGCCAGGCATAAAGCTCCTTTCCTGCACAGTTTGCTAGTTCACTAACTGATCTTCTCAACTGAATCTTCTGACAGAGCAGGGCAGGTATGGCCAGTAGCAGTGTTGAGAACAGCCTTAGAAATGTCATATGAACTGGAGCTCACCAAAGGCACCCATCCCAGCACCAGAATAAGATGTGAAACATCCGCACAGGCAATGGGAAGTGGCCAAGTAATTTGTACCCTGATGCACTGGCCTGCACTGTGTCAGCACAGAGGGAACCTTTTACAGTTACCTTGGAATTTAATGCAAGTTCTCTTCTGTGCACCTCTAAACAGCTCTGGCTAAGCCCTTGTTAGAGTAATGGGAAGCTCCACACCATCACTTTGTCACCTGGTAGAGGACACCAAGCTCCCTTATTTTCACCCCGGGACTTAAGGATGTGGTTGTAGGAAGGAATGTGAGGCCATTCTTGTGGAATTATTGGTTAGGCTCTTCTGCCTTGATGGTTGTCTCAGTCTTTTCAAGGTTCTTTTGAAGGGGGAGGGATTTTTTTCTCCTTCTTGTCTTCCCTTGTTGATATCCTTCCAGAGCCTGATTTAAGGACATTTGGATTGTCTTGGCAGAACTTGATTTTGTGAAGCTGTTGGTTTCCTGGTAGGCTAGCAGTACTCTGGAAAACAAATTTGTGTTCCTGGTTCATCAAAAATTTAGTAGATTTTTTTTTTAAGTGGATATGTCTGTGATTTGTGTTACTTTGGTATCATTGAGAGACAGCCTGTCTGCTGGGCTGAGCTGTGATGTCTGGACTGGCTGTTCAATTCAGTTTGTGTATGTCATAGTTGCAGCAGGAGTGTGAGGTCCTCTGGTGTTGGTTGGTGCTAGGCTTCATTGCATTCTTGTTAGGTAGAGTTGTCTTTGAGGGTTTCATTCAAGCATTTTGTGAGCACAAATAAATAATTGACTCAATATATTCTGTGACTGTCTCACTTTTCTGGCCACTAGTCTTACTGTTGTTGGATACACTTTGGTGTGGTACTTGGGCATTAAATGGGCTATGGGAAAAATTATGTGTCTCAGGCTGTGTATTTCTGACTTGCAAAGTGTCTGTCTGACAGATGTCTGTCTGAAGTGGCGGACTCTCCCGTTCCAGCTGAGCTCAGTGGAGAGGAACTACCCTGACACCTGGGTGTGCTCCATGAACCCTGATCCTGAACAAGACAGGTAAGAATCAGTTAATATTAAGACTTTTCTGCAAGGCGCTTTATCTGCACATTTGGAGCTTTTTTTGGTCATCTGTTCTTTGAAAACAGTTGGAGGGGTTCTGTACCTTTAAGTTGTGCTCACAGTCTGTGAAAAGGCAGCAATGGCAATGGTATTGGGAGCTGAATGCTGGGTGGGCATTTGCAATGTGCAAATTGCAGAGGACATCCTCAGCAAGTGACAGGTGATACCAAATTGGGAGGAGCAGCTGACAAACCAGGCAGTCATAGATCCCTCCAGAGGGACTTGCAGGTTGCAGAAATTGGCCAGCAGAAGCCTATCCTGACATTGAGCTAGGAAAATGCAAAGTCCTGTCCTTGGGGAGGACAGCCCCAGCACTGGTGTGTGCTGTCCATCCCAGAGATGATCAGGCTCAGAGCATTCTCATCGACGTATAGAAACATACAAAGGCAGGCTGCAAAAAGCACAGAGCCTGTCTCTTCCCAGAGGTGCCTAGTGCCAGGACCAGACACCAGGAGCACAAACTGGAATGCTGGAAGGTCCCTCTGCACATCAGAAACACTTTTTTCCCTGTGAGGGTGACCAAATCCTGGCCCAGGTTTCTCAGGGAGATTGTGCAGTCTCTGTCCTTGGAGATATTCCAAGATGGGGTCCTGAGCTCCTGGTCCTGGGTGGCCCTGCCTGAGCCGGGTGGAGCCAGGTAGACCCCAGAGCTGCCTCTAGCCTGTCAACCAAGTGATATGGTGGAATTTGAATCATTGGTTGTTTTTCTGCCCTGGCACCAGAAATGCTATTACAGGTTTAGATTATATTAGGTTTGCCATGGGCAGGATTGATGGCAATTGGAGAACTTTCATGGTGCAGGCTGGGAGTTAGGTGAGTTCAGGGGGGCTTTGCAATTGCCTTTTTTGCTCCTACTGCTCCCACCCATCAGACACCAAACTGTGGCAATTCCACATGGTTGGGATGAACCCAGGAGGGACATTTTGCATGCTTGAGGAAGCAGCACAGTGGTTCATTTTCCAGTGACGTGTGTTACAGTCACAAAATGTAGGTAGAATGTAGTCATTTATTTGAGTGAGGAAAATGATTGCTTTAGGTTGCTTCTCTGTGGAAAGCAGCACTGCTGGAAGCCAGTTCTTGTCTGTATTGTGTAAGGAAGGGAAGCTGCTTCTCTGTAAGTCAGGTCCCTTGGCTCAGGGCTTAAAGACAAAGGGGATGAATCCAGGCGGTAACTTTTGATTGGAATAAAGAATTTAAAATCTATGGCTGAAAATTTTACAGAATATTGATGCTATTTCAAAGTATTGACTTTCTGACTACTTCCTTTTGGTACCTCCCAGTGGAGAATATCTGTGCTGACTTCTCTGTTTGCTCCATATGTATGTAGAGCTCCTGCTGTAGAGCTCCGAGGAGTGTGGCAGTGCTGAGGATGTTCCTGGACAAAATTCTGGGGCAGGGCTGAGCCTGGAACCTAAGGGGCTGGCATGTCCCCAGCCCTTCGGCTGGAAGGAGTAGTGAAGATCAGAAGATGTTGCTTTTAGACACACACAAACACAGACAGACTGTGTATGTACATACATCCAGTCCCACAGATAGCACAAGTGGGCATGTGCAGTGCTCCCACAGACCACACCAGCAGCTTCATCCTTTTCCCTCTTGGCTCGTCAGGGTGAAGGATCACTAGTGGAAATACTCATGTCCATACCTGGCCTTCAGATCCCGAGTCTCTGGTTACTTCCACTGGGATAGATGGGCCCTGAGGCCTGCAGTCCCGGGGGGAGGTGTACCGACCTCCTTCTGTGTTTACACATAGCGCACACACCCTCCAGACCTCCCAGTGTCTCACACTGGGGATTTCTCTGTCTTGATTGGATCAGGGTCCTTGCTCTTCCCCACATGCTTTCTGCCTAGAGACACCCACTGTTCTGCCTACACCCCTATACCTATCTCCATCCGCTGTGAGACTCACCCATGTCTCCAGTGATCAGCTCCTGAGCGTCACCCTTAGACATCCCCTCCCTTGCTCCCAGGTAGCCTTCTGATTGGCTCCTCTGGCCTGTGGCTCATATTCATTCACTTGCCTGTAGTCACAGCAGCTGGTGGCACTCAGGCCCATGAGTCACTGGGACCAGTGGTCCCTCTCCAGCTACTGACACTTGCACCCCAGTACAGAGGCCCTTGCCTAGGAAAGGGGGAGACATGGAGGTTCGTACACAGAGGTGTACTGACCAGCCAAAGGTTTATGTACAACTGGCCCTTGTTACAGTGTATTTTTCCCATATTTGTTCTTCCCAAATAATATCAGTCCTTTCCTTTACTTGCTTTCGGTTCCTGGTGTTGGTCCAAAAGATGTTTCAGAGGGCTGCCCCCTTGACCAGACACCAGAGCTGAGGCAGCCGTAGGACAGTCCTGACAGGACCCCAAAAGGGGTTTCTGTTCCTCTGAACAGATTTGCATTCTGCAATTCCCAAAAAGCCCAGTTCACATCCTCTGAGCTGCCTTTGGGCCTCTGGGCTTGTGGAAATGGACCCTATGGGTCCATTTGGGCTGGTAGCTTCTGGGATGGCCTGAGGGTAGCCATGGAAGGGTGTTATTCAGGTTCCCTCACCTGCCATTATATTTGTGCACTTCTCTCTGCAGAAGTGGGAGTCTTTATTGTATCACCTACCAGGAACTTGATTTAGTGATGAAAGAATTCAGATCTTTTATTTGCAATACCTTGAAAATTGGGGGTGTGTGGGTGGGGCTACTTTTCACTTTGAGGTGTTGTTTGGGGTGAGTCCGAGTACCTCCGCAGTGCATGCTGTGCCATCCTACATTCCCTGTGCAGGAAGCTGGGAAAGGGCAGGTGGGGCACTTGGCACTGGTGAGCCAAAATTCTGGTCATTTTAGCTTCAAAAGGAGTCTCAGGAGTCTTACTTTGAGAGAATAAATAACTCCAGGACATTTCTTGATTAAGTAAGCTTACATGTGCTTTCCAGCAGCAAGTGCAGTTGTGTCCTTTACATGAAGTAGAAGTTTCTCCAGCACTCCTGGCTTTTGGCTGGAGCACATTGCAGGTGCTGCACTGTTGAGTCCTTGTGCAGAGTTTGGACATCTTCATATCTGTGTCCTGACCATTACAGGTATTTGTAGTGTCTGAAGGATGGCAGGATTTGAGAAGCACATGGGTGGCATCCTCAAGCTTGTGTACTGTGAGGCTCAGTGCAGGGTCTCATCCAGCCAAACTGGAAATGATGCAATGTCAGAGCAATGTCAGGTGTTGGGACTGTCCTGGCATCAGAGGTCGTATGGTAGTTTTGGCTGCCACAGCACAGCACAGTGTCTACTATTGGCACTGAGCTGTTCCTTGCCCTTCTGGTTTGTCCACCTACACTTCAGTGGCTGCTTGTGGCAAGCTGTTCCAGATGATGGGAGCTGAATGCCCTTCTCAGTCTCTGTTATGAGAAGCAGTCACTCCCTCCAGTGCCACTGTCTCTGTTGAGGTCAGCACCAGGTGCCACTATCACTCAATTTCGTTACAGAGAAGGCAGTGTCCCTGTTTCACACTGTGAAATAATGTGAGGCTTGCTTTCCTCTATTCTCCTATCTGATATCCAGTTGGATCTCAAATGTCGTTTGGATGGGTGGCTGAAGCACCAGCTGAAGATGATTGTGTGTCTCAAAGCTCCTTGAGCATTATCAGGAGTCTTGGTTTTAGTCCATTCTGACTACCAAGATAATACATTTGTTCTGATTTGCTGCCTCCAGTGATGCAGTCTCTGGGTTTGGATGCCATAAGTAGTCTGAATTTTTCTTGTCACAGAACTCAAGGTGCTTTTGTTCTTTACTGTGCTGTAAAACATAGCTTGGCAATGCTTCCAGCCTTGCCATGAGCTGGAAGATGCATTTCTGTGCTGGGAAACCTGTTTATGGTGCCACTTGTTCAACTTTATCTTTGGGAACTGCAGGTTTCGTGTCACAGGCAGTCATTTTGCAGTGACGACACACACTTTCTTAGCCAAGGAAGTAACCACTCTATGGAAAGTGCTTCAGCAGGGAAGAGGCTGATGGAGGAACTGCTGCTTTTGCTCCTTCTCACTCACAAAGCTGATCAGAGTGTGTCTGATAGCTAGAGATCTTGATAGAATCATCTCTCCTCAGCTTCTTGGAGCTCTGAGTGTTCTACAGTGAGAGCAGGGTTCTCCCTTTACTAGTAAGACTTATATCTTCAGGTTACCAGCTTGGTTCCAGTGTCCAATGAGATCTGCTGCATCTCTTGTGTTGTAAAAGGGCTGTCTGCTGCTTTCCTGGCTCAAATCATTCTTCCATGACTTTACCCCAGCAGTGCTGATCCTCGTCTGTCGTTCTATGATTGTTTGGTGATAGGTGATGAGCCTGGGCTCAGTCCCCTCTTCCTCCTCTGGCAGTGCTCCTGAGGGCCAGCTGCTCATCCAGGCACTTCAAAGGTGATGCCAGTGCGTTTGAGAGAGTACTTCCTGCTTCTCTTTTCCTTCTCTCTCAAGGACTCTTCCAGGATTCTGCACCTGAGAGGACCTGGGAGAGTAGGATACTCACCACTGTTGTTGGCCATGGGCTGAACAGCTACAGGAAAGCAAAGGACAAAGCAAATAGCTACAGGATATTTTAAAGGACACTGCCTGGCCTGGAATGGCAAGGCAGAAGGCATTTGGGACAGGAAGGCTTGTGGTAATGTCTTAGTCATGGGTTTCTGGTACTGTGCTTTCCTTTATGAAGGGAAAAAAGTATGTAGAAAGAAGAACTGATATGAAGAAATAAGCTGATAGGAAGGAAAATTGCTGAAAAAGTCTGGACTACAGATGCAGTCCAGAAGCTGTCACAACTGTCACAGTTCCTGGGCGCTGAATTGGTGATTTCCAGCATAAATGCCTTTTTATTAGCAACTATGCTTTTGATCCTTAATTCATATCTCTTTTCCAAGATGAAAACCACTGCTTTTGAGATTGTGACTGCTGCAGAAAGGCAGGTAGCTTTCCTGCTGCCTTTGGAATGGTATGTTGGGATAATCCTGCATGAGATGATACAGGTTCTGCTGTCCTTACTGAGAGTGTCTTGCATTCCCTCCATTCTAGATGTGAGGCTGCAGAGCAGAAGCAGAAGGTACCACTGGGAACTCTAAAAAAAGACTTGAAATCAAATGAGGAAAAGCAGAAACAACTGACAGAGAAAATCCGCCAGCAGCAGAAAAAGCTGGAAGCTCTGCAGGTGAGTCTAGAGGTCTCCAGCTAAGCAGAGCAGGTGTGACTCAGCAGCAGCCCCTTTCCCTGTGCAAAGGGCTGCTGCTGAGTCTGAAACCATCTATGCTCCTTCATAGGGCTGGGGCAGTTATAACAACAGAAATTGATCATCTCATCTTGCATTTAATTTTCTGTTGAGAAAATGGAAATGACAGCTGAAGGAATATCTCTTGAAGAACACAAAACACACCATATAATTGTTTGGTTTAGCCTGGAAAACTGCTGGAATGGGTTCAGGCAGCCCCTGGCAGCTTGTAAACATGAACTTTCTGATCTGGTTTTTTTTTGGTTTGTTTTTTTTTTTTTTTTTTTTTTTTTTTTTGTTTTGTTGGTTTGGTTTGGTTTGGTTTTGGGTTTTTGTTTGGTTGGTTGGTTTTGTGTTTGGAGTTTTTTTTCTTTTTTTCAAATTTTTCTTTTTTTGTTGTTGTTTTTTGTAGAAAACCACTCCAATTCTGTCTCAGGCTGACTTAAAGAAACTACCTCTGGAAGTGACTACACGGCCTTCAAGGGAGGTAAATGGAATCCTACTGTAGGCTTTTTACTCTTTTGTGCTTCCTTAGCTGTTCTGAACAGCAGTTCCCCACTCTTCTACCCTTCCTCTCTCTCTACCCTCCTTTGTTTCAGCACACCCGATCTCAGCGCCCACGATCTCCTCCTTTGCCTGATGTAATCAAGAATGCTCCCAGCAGGCCACCAGGATCGTCACCTCCTCACAAGTCCTGCACTCAGCTGAAAAAAAGTTCTTCAGATCATCCAAATACCAGCTCCCCCAAGCTAGCAAGCATGCTCTTCAAGGAGGAGGCCAGCACTTCCAGGACACACCATCACACTGTGACAGCTGGGAAGTCTAACAGCACTTTAAAAACTCTTGCCAAGCCAGGTACAAGCCTGAAGTCGCTCTCTGGCCAACAGAGTCCCAAAAGCTCACGTGAGACACCCAATCCAAAAGCAGCCAAGGTGCCAGCAGTAAGGAAATCTGCCTCTGGCAAATGTTTACAGGTAAGAATCAATGGGATGAAACCCCTCAGCTCCTCACCCACTGTCCTGTAAGCCTGTCTGTTCTGTATTGTGATATGTGCACAGTGGGCACTGCACAGGACAAGAGAACTTCTACTTTACTCTTGGGTTAGGGTGTCATTTACACTCCTTGAGAAGACTGGTCTCATCTCTTTCCTGTTAGACCAGATTGTTTCCCCAGGGAAAAAAAAAGTGCATGGGGTGGTGGGATGAGTGTTTGCATGATGATATACCACCTCTAAAACCTTCCAGAAAAGCTCATTAACTACCAAATAAAATACTGAGTGTTGGGTTTTTTTCTGGGGGGTTGTTTTTTTTTTTTTTTGTTTTGTTTTGTTTTGTTTTGTTTTGTTTTGTTTTTTCTTTTTAAACTTGGCTGCAAGAAGGTTTTGGTTGGAAGCAGGCTGGAATTAATAGCTAGAGCTTGTTTGCTTCCTTCAGGCTTCCAGCACTCGAAAGAGGGCCTCGAACATCCCAGAGGATGGGTCTGAGGAGGAGGGTGAGCCCAAAAAGGAGAGGACAAAACGAGGAAAATTTTTGGCACTGAAAGAAGAGAAGGATTCCAATGAGGTGGTGGTGGAGGTAAGAGTGTGCTGGTGGAGGTAAGAGTGTGCTGGTTTCCCCAGCAGAAGGTATTTGTCAGGTGTTTATAATCTTGATGGGAGGTGGCTAATTTGAGCTCTCTCTGCTCCCAGCTCACAGACAGTGCTGGAGAGGAAGAGTTGTTGGAACTGAAGAAAGCACAGAAAGGTGAGAAATAAGCCAGTATCTGACGTAAAAAAGAACTGTTGTACAAGTTAAACGTGTGCTTTCATCAATGAGATTTTAAAATAAAAAATAGTGTACATTTGAACTCCGAACCCCAAGATTACTCTAACTTGCATGAAAAATTTTGGCTGAGAACCCTTTGATTAGACCAGTGGCAATTGTGGCATGGAAAGGTCTGTGATTGATGCTTATGTGATGTTGTCAGGGATGAGGCTGGGCTGCAGGGTGTAGCTGATGGCATGTTCACCTATCCTGAGTGGATCATGCAGCCATGCTAGCTGGAAAATGCTCAGGACTCTATCCAGATCTGCACTGCTGTGAGAGAAGAGTGACTGGGAGATCCCAGGAAAGGTGATAGCTGGGGTGGTACTGCACCATCTGCCAGAGCAGGGCATCTTTTCAGCATGCTTCCAGGGAGCTGTCTGAAAAGTGGCCCACTAGGGACATGTGGCAACTTGTCCTAGAGCCCATCATGAGACTATAAAGCCAATGTCAAACAACTTGGAGTACAGGAGAAACCTTCCATCCGGAATTGCCAGCTCATTTCCATGCATCTTCATGTTTCTCAGCAGGAGCTGACCTGTGTGCCCATTGTGTTTTGATGGTGTCCGTACTGCTTGAGGGCATTGTCACAGGTTCAGGTGTTCTCCCTGCTGAGGTGTCTGAATCTCTAGAGCCCCTGTAGAATGTGCTTTCTAGCACCTGAATGTTTACAAACACCTTTGCTTCCCCCTCACAGATAAAGGGCTGCACGTGGAAGTGCGTGTGAACAAGGAATGGTTCACAGGCCGTGTCACAGCTGTGGAAAGGGTGAGGCATGCAATCCGGTGGAAGGTGAAGTTTGATTATGTCCCTACAGACACCACACCAAGGGATCGCTGGTAACTATCTAGAGCTACTGAATTGTGGAGGCTTGGGTTTTTTTTTTGGGAGGAAGGGCCTGTTTTATTGCCATAGATCCTGAAGACAAATATGCTGTTGTCATGTCAGGAAACATGTGAGGTCAAGACTTTCCAGGGCTACATAAGGAATGGGCATTACAGACTCCATCAGTCTGTCACTCTGATGCCTGCCCTGGAGGCAGCTGTTGTGTGTCTAGAAGTCTGTGTGACACTTGGGTACAGATTTTGATGAAACCGTTAACTGTGTTTCAGGTATGTCCAATGTAAAAAAAGATTCCTGACATTACCTTAATACTTTTCCTCAGGGTAGAGAAGGGCAGTGAGGATGTAAGGCTTATGAAACCTCCCTCTCCTGAGTACCAGGCTCCAGACACACAGCAGGAAGAGGATGCGGTCATGGCTGAACCTTCTACCTCGGATTGCATCAGAATCGAGCCTGACACCACTGGTCCCAGCAGCAGCCAAGAAACAGTTGACTTACTAGTCCAGATCCTTAGGTGGGTTCACTGCAGATCTTGTGAGCTCTGCAGTCTGATTGCTTCGGTCTGTTAAACTGCCAGCTCTGGCTTTGCATTTTGTTTTCCTGCACAGGAATTGTTTGCGATACTTCTTGCCTCCAAGTTTTCCAATCTCCAAGAATGAGCTGAGTTCCATGAGCTCAGAAGGGTTGTTGGCATTTCCCTTGGTGAGTTCAGTACTTCTAGAAAAGTAAGGTTATGTGTTTTCCCCACACATATTCCTTTCTTATGGCAAATGTGCGTCTTGCTAATGCGGGAGTGCACTCTTGAAAAAATAATTTGGATCCTTGGCAGACTAACATAGCTGAGGAAAAGAATGAGACCTCTGAGAGATGCCTTGAGTCTTGTAAGAGTTGTCTGAGGATGTTTTTAATTACCATACATGTGTGTGGGAATGCTGTTGGCTGCTAGTATCTTAAATTCTTAACAATTGCTATTAAACTTATAAGCCTTATAACTTATCTGGAGACAATCTTAAAAATTATAAATTAATAACAAATAATTATCCCCAGATTCACAGAATATTCTGAATTGGAAGGAAGACACAAAGCTCATTGAGTCCAACTCTAAGGTAAATGGCGCATACAGGGTTTGAGCCCACAGCGTTAGTGGGGGTTCAATCCCTTTATAGGCCATTTACTTTAGTGTGAGAGAACATTGAAGTAAACCCCTTCCCACTTCCCTGGGAAAACAGGTTGACTGCCAGCAAGTCAGCTGCACACCATAAGACTTTTGACTTCTGTTTATTTGAGGACAGGTGGGACTGAGCTTCCACCAGCAGCCTGGTACTGGGAGGAATGTTACCTGGTACCAGTGCTGGCTGCAATGCAGGGTAAGGGAACTGGCCTCTCTTACTTTTTCCTTCTCCAGCATACCACCAAGACAGACCTTTCCAAGGAGGCACTTGTAAAAAGCCACCTGCAGATGAGCACATGACCAAAGTCTGTTCTGTTTTGCACTTCCAGACTTGAAGTGTGTGTATTGGTAGTCTCGTCTCCTCCTCTTCTGTTAACTCAGGCATCTGCTGACATTTGCTGGAGTTACTATTTCTGCTTCTTCTGTAGGACACCTTGGTTGTGTCTGAGGCTTTTGGTTAGTGTAGCTGTCCCTACCTTGCAGTGGGAGGCTATGATGTCTGGGTGATCTGTACCAAGGATACTTAGAATTTACAGGGCATGTCAGGCCTGCAACCATACCTGTGGGTTCATGTTTTTTAAAGTACCCTGCACCCTTAATCTAAATTCAAGCAGCTTTGGGGGCAGTTCTGGTACTGGAAGAATGTGAAAAGCTGTGTGAATTCTGTGCTGGCTGGTGTTGGCAAATCAGATGTAAATACAAGGGTGGGCAGAGTGTGCAGAGGCACGCTGCAGGGAGGATTTGATCATGGGGGCCAGGAGTTTGGGTCTTCTACAGCCTGTGAATGCTCATGTTTTTGTTGATGCTTGATGCTTTCTCTTAATGTGACATCTTGTGTTTTGTCTACTACAGAAAGAATATTTTAAGCAGTATGAGGTGGGTCTGCAGAACCTGTGCAATTCATATCAGACACGTGCCGATGCCCGGGCCAAAGCCTCTGAGGAAAACCTCCGGAACTTAGAAAGGAAGCTGAGGGAAACAGAGGAGAAACTGCAGAAGTTGAGGACTAATATCATGACCCTTCTGCAAAAAGTGCAGGAGGTGGGTGAGGAGTAGCAGCAAACCCTGAGCTGTCTCAGAGTAGCCACCTGGCTCATCCCCTCCAAGCATTACAAGTGTTTCACTGCAGTGTCTCACTGGGCTCCAACTTCCTCAGCTCGGAACAGCTTGGCTGTCACTGCCCACACTTGGGATCCAAGCTCTGAGAGTCTGATGTGTGTTAATTCTCACATGAGAATGATTTCTCATGGTGTGTATGTTATGCACAGATTCTGTTCTCTGCTGTGAGGCTGCTTGAGAATTTCCCCAGGTGTAGGCAGTGCTCATCAGGGAATTTTTGCCACATTCCTGGGCAGATTCTGAACTCCACATATAGAAATGCAAACCTTTAAACAAACAACATGAAAAAGTGTTGTGGTGAAATTGATATATTAGTTATACTATTAAATTAAAATAGAAAATATATAATTAAAACATTTAAATAAATAAACTAACTCTAAACTAAAAAAACTACTTTAATAAAATCAGGATCAACCTGTAAAGGCTACTGAAAGCATCTGAAAGCTGTTTCACCCTGTTAGGAAAATGTGTTAAATCTAAAAGAGCCCAAACCAAATCTTCCTCAACCACAATCAGTACAGTAGATCCATCACTTGAGTGTGTTGTTTGAGCATCTGATGCTGATGGGTTTCCTGTGTTGTCTTTCGGATGCTGACAGGGAAAGCTAGGGGTGCTGTCACTGCAAGCTGTCAGCAGCTGGAGGGTGCTGGAGGTTGGGGCATAGAGGTTGAGCAGGCCAGACGTAACAGAGGGTGCTAAGCTGCTCTGGCTCCTCTTTTCTTGTGCTGTTCCTCAGTATTAACTTCTCACTGGTGTTCCTTGTTGCTTTGGTTTCAGGACATTGATATTAATACAGATGATGAACTGGATGCATATATTGAGGACTTGATCATGAAAGGTGACTGAGCAGCTCCAGCACAAGTCGTGGAGAAGTGCAGAAGAGCTGGCTGCTGCAGAGGAAGATGTGGATCTCTGTGCAGGTGGACTGAGGCAGCTGATGAGGAGAGAGTTTTTTAGACAGCGCTCATGTTGGTGTACAACTTGTTCCTGTGACTGTACATGAGAAGCATTTGTGCTGTTGGCAGGAAAATTTTTAACTTTGTAGTTCTCTAAATCTCTTCCTTTTGTTTATAAATATTTATTTTTAAAAGAAATGGGAACTGTGCCTGTTACAATGGCTGGTTTTAGTGATGTAGAAGTGTGAGTATCGCTTTTGCAACTCAAGTATATTCATATGCTAAACCTGGGAGCTCGGAGCACCCTGCTTAGCTTACTGGTTCTCCAGCAAGAAGCTGGCAGGAATTAAAAAATAAGCCTTGAGTTGTGGCAGAGGGGGTCAGGCTTTTTTTGTGGAAGATACTGAACTTGAGGTAGAGAAAGCCAAGCCATGAATTGGAGCTATAGAAAGGCGATGTCCTTGTATGAGTGTGAGTAGAGGGGATGGAACATTGGTGGAACTCGGAAATTGGCACTGGCACCTGCAGTTAGCTTCCTGAACAGGAGGTTGCTGCAAGTGGGTGAAACTGCCACCGTGGTAATAGCCAAGAGGCTGAGGTCCTTGTAGAAGAGGATCACCTCCTGGACTGCTCACAGTCAGAGGAAGAATGCTGGCGTTTGGGTTCTCTGCTTGCAGTCACTTTATCACTCACTTCTGCTGCTGTTTCTTTGAGACATAATTACAGCATCAGAACAACTCCTCATCCACCTGACAATAAAGTGACCTCTGTTCTATTTTCACCCCCTCAGTTTTGTGTTGCTTTGCTCAATTTGCTCTACCAGGTAATTTTATTATTAGAGATTTCTAATTATTAGAGAGAGGCTATTTGGAGCCTTTGGAGCCCTACACCGCTGATTGGCATCTGGCCCTGTGCCTGCAGCAAAGAAAACACCTCTCCCTTATCCTTCAGCTGCAGCCAACTCCTGGTGAGCCACTTGTGGCCAAGGGGACTTGGTCAGAGTTTGTCAGCTGGCCAGCAGCTTCGCAGGCCTGCTAGGACAAAGCATCTGTGGACTCATGTTCGGAAACTGGAGTCTCCTGCAAGCCAGATGGTTGTAAACATGGTGTAAAGCAAGAGGAACCCTCTATCAGGGAGGTCAGGTGGAATGGACCCTGGAGATTGACACCTGGATGTGTAATAGACATCTTTCAGCAAACCCTTCCAAATTAAAAATCTGTTGCACCAAAAATCTTTGGCACTAATTGTTTATAGTCCTGAATAACTCCCAAGTTTCTACACACCACAGAAGAGGGGGAAGGCTTTTGCTTATTACCTGAATTACAGGTGCTTAGCACAGCACATGGTGAGACTGCTTCCATCCCAAATCTGGGCCTGACATCCCACAATAAATAAAGGTAAGGAGTATTCCCCTCTCCTCATACACCCTCCTGCACAAAGGGGCAGCATTTCTTAAGCAAAGGAACAGGCTCCACCAGTCTCCATTTCTTCACACATACTGGAGATTTATTAGTTGTGATGATACACTGCAGTTTCTGATGAAAATAATCCAGAGAAGATGCATTTTTTATTAAGGTGAAAGAAGTCTTTGTCCTTCCCAGGAGACAGCAGACATTCTAAAGAAGGAGATTTTGTTATATTGCAGTTCAGAGCTGCTGCTGCACACAGGCTTCAATTTTGGACACCCAGAGGGCACCAGGATGGGGCTAACTGTTCTTACATAGTTCTTGAGCTTCCTGGCACAGTTTGATTTCCTACTTCTCCCATGTTAGGAAAGTGCAATTGTTTTGAGGTTTGGTCTTTTTCCCCTCTTTTCTGTGGAACTTCTCATTTCCAATTTTAACTCTTGTTTTTTAATGCATTTAATTGTTTTGATCTTCTACCAAGGTTTTTTGCTAGGAAGAGAAAGCCAAGAACTTTTAAGTGCCAGTAAAATAGATTTTTCATTCTCAAACCCTTTTGGACAATGCTCTGCAGCTGCTCTTTTCTTTTTCTTGATTTTGTTTCTATAAATTTGTTAGGCAATTCTGTGTGTAACATCAGGTTTTAGTAACACCTCTAAAACCCATAGGCTCAGAATGCCTCCAGAGGGAATCCAAACTCCCGGCTCCAAGTGGGGTATACTCCAAAGCTTTATAAAGTGGTTCAGGGCATTTTCCTGTTGAGCTCTTAAAATCAGGGGTAGAGACTGCCCCACAGCTCTGCACCACACACCACTCCTATGGGTGTTCTTCCCTGGTATCACACAGGGATGTCCCTATCACATCTTGAAGGTCATTCCAGCTGCCATCAAAAACCTGTCCCCTGCCTCTAACCCTGTCAGGACACCTCTGTCCTGCATTTAAGCCTCTTGATGCCTCAGATGTTCCCCTAAGTCTTCGTCTGCTGTTTCTTACAGCAGAAATACTAAGGACATAAGTTTCCTTTTGCACAACATTTTCCTCCCTCTCTCTATGGCCAGCTTAATCCCTTGTTTATATATTCCATAGTTGAAATTTCTCCCAGAGCTGTCAGCTGGATACTTCATGCCAGCTTACTTCTTGTGGGCAGGTTGCATTTTTCCTTCAAGCTCTCTGCCACGTTCCCTTTGCATCTGTTTCCGAGAGCAGTAGATGACTGATGTTCTCGCCTGCAGGAAAGTAAAGATGAGGGTCACTCATGAGAGAAACCAAGGGAATCTGGGAAATTTGCCAATTCTTGATAGTTGCTATGAACTAAAATGCTGTGGAAATGGAGAGGATGTCCTGGCATGCACAGCTCTGCAGAGGTGTAAAGTAACACTGATCTTTTTTGGATGGAGAACGCTGAGGAGTGTGTGTTCTCATTGTCCCTAAGAGTTCATCAGTGCCCAGAGTTGCTTCTTAGCAAGGAAATGAGGAGGACTGTGTCGTTCCTGTCCTTTTGAAGCACTTCTTGAATCACTTTTTGAGTCCCAACTAGAGCTTTCACCTTGTCTTAGTTTGAAAAGCAAGTGTCTACCAAGGTGTCTGCCTTGGTGTCTGCCAAGGAAGGCAGGAACATCTTTTGGAATGGAGACTATAACCCCCTTCCCTCAGAATTATTTTAACTTTGAAATTTAGGGGCTTTTGGGCAAAGATTTGGGAAAAGGAATAGCAGCTCTTTCCTAGTATGCATCCCAAGGCAAACAGACACCAACTGCGGCATTCCCAACACCCAGAGGCAGAGACGCAGTCCCGCCATTTCCCCTCTGGTGCCGTTCCGGGCGCAGCCGCCAGGGGCGCTGCTGGCTCTGGGCAGGGCGGGGGCGATGATTCCCCCGCGCCTGCAGGGGGCGCTGTGGCGCAGGCTCGGTCATTTCTCTCACGTTGTAATGGCGGACATGCTGGCGGAAGGGTTGGGAAAAGGGCTTGCTCCACAAACCTCCAGGGGCAGCCGATCCCAGTGCCTAATCAGGAATCTTGGAAGTGGCAAGCTGAAACGGCAGGAACGAGCTCACCTGGGATAGCAAGCAATAGTCAGCTGTAGTAGGAGCTGTGGTGTGTCCTGGCAGGCAGGGAGTGTGGGGTTAACAGTCTTGCAAAAAACCCCTTGAGCAGGAGCTGAGCAGCAGCAGACCGTCTCCCAAACTGGGCCCAGAGAGGCTTCCTTGGAGAGAGAAGGGGCTCAGGGATCCTGGCATTTCCCCTGAGGCACCTCAGCAGATGGTGAAGGATCCTGTATTTGCTGTGGAAGGGTGCTGATAAGGTCTCAGTGCAACAGCCGCTCTTACAAGCAGCACTCCACTCATGGTAGGAGGCAGCAGGAGACTGAACGTGGTGCTGGTTGCAAATTCTTCCCGCAGCGACCGAAGCCTCTTTCCCCTCTGAAAGCTGAGAGAGCAGGAGAGGTAGGAGCTGCTCCCAAACCCATTTTCCCCAGCCCAGTTCTCTCAGTATCTCTGGCCCTCTGAGAGAAACCCTCTCGGAGTAGAGGGTAAGAGAAGTGCAGCTAGGTGCCCTGCCCCTCAAGTTTGGCAACTTCTTTTGTCTCTCTTAAGTACCAATTATATTTTCTTAGAGACAGATGGGACAAAATTCCATGAGAGAAAGAAACAAAAGGAAAAAATACAAAGCCCAAACACCTCCATTAAAGATGCAAGCAATTGCTGTCACATAGAGCAGATCCTGTGAGTACCGGTCTCAGTTTGGACACAAATTCTGGGAGAAAAATGCTCTAAAATTACTGTTTTTCTCTAAAGAGAGGGCTTCAATTGACACGTGGAGAGAGACTCTAAAACTCAAAGACAAAATGAGTTTTAAAGTAGGTATGTTTTTATTTGGCCAGATGGATGGGAATATTGCTACAAAGACATGCGTACCCCTTGTACAGACATGGTTTTCTTTTATCCTCTAGAATGTTACATATGCGTCATGTTTCAGAATAGATTATTTCCTGGCTCCTCTCCCTCTCTACTTTGTATGCTAATCATCTTATCAGTCCATTGCTGGTGCGCAGTTGTCTCTGGTGGTCGTCTCAGGGGTCGTAAGGGATGAAGTAAAATTGTCTTCCTCAGGACTGACTTTTTGACCTGCTGCCTTGCACATGCTTACTAATCTTTTGGCCTCTGTTCAAGCCAGGAGTCCAGATTCATCTGATTTCAGGGGCCCAAGGAGCCTTGTTATCTCAGTATCCTTGCATACTGTATCCTGTTCTTGATAAACATCCTCCTCCTTATCAGGCATCCTTGCATTCTTTCTTGCTGTTTTGCACATATTCCTTTCCTGTATTCCTTTTCTTTCTCACACAACTAAGGATGCAGCAAATATTAAGCAATGTCCACCATCTTATGTGCCTATTCTTAATGAATACCTTCTAATTTCTGTGATTGATATATATCCTCTAGTTCCTGACTCCATGCTTCTGTCCCCTCTTTTTAATAAAGTAGTAAATTCTTTTACTTAGTATAAATTCCAATCCTCATGGTATGTGTCTTCTAATGCTTTACTATGTACTCATGATAAAGAGGTTAATATTGCTATTTGTTGTAGCAGTCTCCAATTCCAAATAAGTATTACAAAAAACAATGTTAAACTTACACCAATTACTACAACTTTATCAATTAGTAAAACAATGATGGGGTGACATAATGTATTTAGGATCCCGGTTGCAGTTGGCAACCATCTGAAAAATGAACCCCACCAATTGTGACTTGCATCTTGTTTTACTCTTTGCAGAACCTTGTTTATTTCCTTTGAGTCACAACGGACAGTAAAGTTTTCTGTCCAGTTTTCTGAATATCCCTTAGAATTTTGACAAGGTCCTGATGCTTAATAAATTTACATGAGGTTTGTTCTAGTAGGTGTGGGTGACAACCTGTGATACATTGTATTGTTGGACTAAATTAGCTGGTGAGATACAACTGGTGCCAAATTCAGAAATTCACACCCTAAAATTTTAACAAAGTTACAAATACAAAAGGTTAAAATGACTCTTACTGAGCAAAGTTCATTGTTCTTGTCTGTTTTTATAGTAGCGCATACAGTTCTCAAACACACACAACCTTGACCAATATCTACAAGCACAGTCCTTTGACTGATATTCAGATGAATTTCAGAAAAACAACCACCCTGTTCAGTTTCAAGACATGTATCTTGAGCATTGATTGTATTACTCTCACAAATTAACCCCTGTTGTTCCCAGGTAATGCGAGATTCTGGATTCATAGTTTGCCATTTTTCACTTACTCTTCATGCCCATGTCCTGTGTCCTGAAGGGTAGAGCACTGATTTAGTCCTAATGCTCGAATAGGATGAATAACGTAAACTGTGGCGTTGTGTACGGTGAGCACAAAAGCATTAGCTATGTTATCACTTGAGTCATAGGTGAAGTTTAGCAAAGTCCACCAAGATTGAAATTTCTTCTCAAAATCCGTAGCATTGTCCCAAACAGCTTTTCGAATCTCAATTGGAAAAGCTCCTTCACTCCCTTCTCTTATAATTGAAGCAGCTGTTGATTGTGACCATAATTGTGTCTGTATACAACTAAAAGCCAGAGACACATTATCTTGAACCATAGCAAGTGCATCTATAATTACTCCATGGTCTTCGTCTTCCGCTTTTTTCAAACTTGGTAATATTTTCGAAACCTGCCACTAACTGGTTCCCAATGCTAACAAAGTTGACTGTATGGGTTGTTTTAATTTTGTTGGATTGCTTGTTGCAGTGGCCAATTTATTCACTAATATTTCTGAATCAATTGCATTTAAAACTTCCAGCCCTGTCCCTAATATTCCAGTCAGATCTCTTCACATTCTGCCTCTGGTATTTGCCTGCTTTTGCAACTGTGTCAGCCAACCCTCAAAGGATGTCTTTAGGAAAGAAGAGCAGGCTGGATGAATTTCAGAGATGTTAGTTTGCATTAGTAATTCGACACACTTAAGAGATGATTCAACAACTGCTGTTGGCCTGTCTTCCTTATTACATATGGGCCGATTTTATAAATTTTGGCTTCAGGCCTAGGGGGTGTGATTTGGGTTTGGGCTGGGGTAATGGGCTCAACTGTGGCATTTATTTTAAATTTCAAGGTGAGCCCAGTAGTATCATGGGCCCAGAGACAAACCACCTCAATTGTCTGTACTAACGTAAAGTTATACTGACAGTCTAATTCACTTGAATGACTGCAAACCTCCTGGTGTTTGCCTGTGGGAGAGGTTGAAACACATATTTGGATTGCTCTCCTATGATCTGTTCCATTAATTCTTCTACACCCTATCCTGATTTCCTCTCCTATAGTCCCTTGAAGTGACCACAACCTTTGTCTTTGCCACTCTTGCCTTACATATACTTGGTTTTTGTGCATGACTACAGTTGACAGGTTTAGGTTTTTTAAATCAGAATATTCTCCCATGGATCCAGTGTATCCAGTGAAAGCTTGGGACCAAGGCCACTCACATTATCTGGCTAGAGTATTTTCTAGTTCTAGGATTGTAATTACGGTTACTAACTGTCCTGGTTTACGGCAAATTTGGAGAAAACCTCCAAAAGGCCGCCCCCCCCCCCCCCCGAAACAGAAAGCAAGCTCACATGGCCCCTTCCCCCAGACGGTTTGGAAAGAATTTCCTCGGAGAGAACTGGAAAAAACCTGTTTATTTAACAGGCACAGCACTCCTCAGCACAAGAAATGAACAATACCGGATGACAAAACTCATTCACCACTCTGAAGAGATGACAAATTCAGAAAAGTCTCTCCTGGGAGTGGTCAGTCTGTTATCAGTCCCTCTGGTGCTGGGAATGGCTGCTGCCCAGAGTAGACCCCAGTAGGCCACAAAGTGCGAACTCTTGGTGTTTCCCTGGGTCCTGGTCTGAAGCAGGTTTGAATGGTTCCAAGAAAAGAGAAAAACAAACAGTCTAGGGAAAACTCTGACTGCCTCAGCTAGCTAAACTAACTAAAAAGCAAAAGAAGCACTGTGCGCAGACGACAGTGGAGTTCTGTGTTCCAGTAGACTGCGGGGGAGAGTGCAACTGATAAAGAAACTCTGTGCTTCTTCTTCTCCCTGCCTGCACTGTGAGAGCCAGCCTTGAAGGCACCCAATATAACATCCAGCATAAACAGAACACCCGACTGGGGATACAAGCATCATAATGTCGCCCTAGAACATTAAGAAAATAATTTTCTTGATTAAATTCCTGCAATCTAGATTGCTAAACATTTTCAACTGCAATATATTAATTTTGTTCGAGTGAATCTTAGTTCATCACCTGGTGTTGCTCTCCAGGGAGCCTCAGGAGATTTCTTTACGCGAGAGTGGTGAATCCAGGCATTCTGGTCTTAGATCTTAATTGCAGTAAAAGTGGTGAGAAGCACTTGGAATGGTCTTTCCCACTGTGGCTCCAAGGTCTTTTCTTTAAGACACTTGACATACACATAATCCCCAGGCTGTATGTCATGCACTCGTCCATCTATCCCTCTGCTCTGAGCTCCAGCCACGTTTTTCAATTTCTCTGAGTTGCTTCCCTAGGGCTACCATATAAGGAGTCAGTCTTTCTTCCCCAATTTGGGTGGATATCCCTTTCTGCCCACCATATGTTCTCCCATAAAGCATTCCTAAGGGGCTCAGCTTTTCTTTAATTCTGGACTTAGTCAGGAGTCACAGCAATGCTGGTGGGAGGGACTGGGGCCAAGACAAATTAACCTCCTGTCCTAGTCTCACAATTTGTTGTTTGATCAAATGACTCATTTTTTCAACTTGGCTGCCTGACTGGGTATGGTATGGCATGTGAAATTCCCAGCCTATGCCTGGAAGTTGACTGACCTGCTGTATTATTTTTGAAATAAAATGTGGTCCCATATCTGGGGAAATTGTGGCTGGAACTCCAAAGTGTGGTATTATTTCTTGCAACAGCACCTTGGTTACCTCCTGGGCTTTGGCAGTCCTGGTAGGGAAAACCTCTGGCCATTCTGAAAAGGTATCTGTTAGTACCAATAAATATCGATACCCCCCCTTTTCTTGGTAATTCTGAAAAATCAATTTGCCACTGCTGACCAGGTTCATGGCCCTTTCCAATTTGGCCCAGGTTTGGTTTAGGGGTATTCTTGGGTTAGTCTGGAGGCAAAGTTCACACTGCTGGGCTATTGAATGCAGGGTGCCCCTGTCGCAGGGAATGATTGGCATCTGACTCCATTGATTCAGAATGCTGAACAATTGCTTTATTAAACTATACTATATTGCATTATACTATGCTATAATTTAGAGATACTATACTACAAAGAGATACTAAAGAATACCAAAGAAAAACCTGTGACTGTCTGCCACAACCAGGACACAAGCTTCAAGTGATTGGTTAATTAATATAGACAACCATCACAGAATCCAATTACCAAATCCCTTCAGGTAAACAATCTTCATAACACATTCCACATGTGCAAAACAACAGGGCAGAGAATAGAGATAAGAATTGTTTTCTCTTTCTCTGAGGTTCCTCGCTGCAATTCGCAGGAAATATCCTTGGGAAGTTGTGCCTGCCTTCACTCTATGAAGAGAGCTGTGGCTACACTGGGCTACTTGTGTAACAGTGGCATATAAGTTCCGGGCAGTGATTCTTTCAATCAAATTATTATACAAGGCATCAATTCCCCAGTGTATTTTCCACTGATCCTCTCTTACTGGCCATAGTAAATGGGAGGGGATAACCAATTTCCTTTCTGCTGTAACCACCCATCCTTCCTGGTTATATGTTCCCTTTTGATCCTCAGTTAGCTTTCTATCCTTCTAATTATACACTGACTTACCTTCTAGGGAGATTTGGCCATCGGGAATTACAGCTCCTTCTACTGTTACCTCACCTTTTGCCGCTTCTTTTGCCTCTCTGTTCGCCAGATTGTTTCCTTATTCCAATTCTGAGCTCACTTTCTGATGTGCCTTAATGTGCATGATTGCCACCTTCTCAGGCATTTGGACTGCTTCCAACAGTTGTATTATTTCTTGTGAATGTTTAATGTTCTTCCCTTGCAAATTTAACAGATCT